CTGGTTCTGAAAACCTCTGCTGAGAGATCTACGCTTTCCTGAACATTAAACCCACCCCTGATGGCAACTGAAATTCTTTCATTTGTATGAATATATTTCAAAATGTCCTATGATTACAGCTTTGTAATATTTTGGAAGCAGATGGCAGGCACAGCTGACAGTGACAGTAGTTATAAGTGCAAATAGGAGGTGGCAGAGAGGAGGGGGAAGATACAGAATTGGCTTAGTAAAACAGTGTAAGAAGAGGAGCTCTTATTTTGAAGATGCAGCCAAATGATGAAAGCAGGTAGGGAAGGATTCAATTACCACTGGGAGAAAAACATCCAGCTCAGCTTCCTGAGCCTAGGAAGCATATGCTTTAGCATCTTACTAAATAGGCAGGAGAGAGCCAGAGAGAGAGAGAATAAAAAAAAAGAGATTAAGACATTCAACTCCACTTGACCCTTAGGAGTGCCACTCTGCTCTCCTAGGAAATAAAGAGCCATAGGCATTTCAGAAATGAACACTCAGCCCTTGAATAAACACTTAGAATAAATCCCAGCTCCCCAGGACACCTCTGTATTTCTGGGTCAGGTGATAAAAAGTTTGCTAGTCAGAGATAAAACTCGTATTTTTCTAAATCGTGTCAGGAAACAAAGTAGCTGGCACTTAATGGCTGATCCTAGTAATGCTCTGGATGCCATTACATCTTTATTGAGATCCTTCAGGTGATGCTTACTTCATTAAGATGCAAGAGGGAATATGAAACCATTCAGTACTAAATAAAGTTCTTATGGCGTTCAGCATACTTCCATTCTCACTTCAGGAAGCAAGGAAGATTATTTTCTTCCATCTATCAAATCCTGCTATCATCTACAGAGTTAAGCAATAGAGAGGATATCTCAAGGAATACACTCTTGAGCATCTTGCCCCCTCCCCCCCACGTTCTTTTTTTTTTTTTTTTTTTATTATTTTAAACATAGCATACATCAAAGTAAAAACTGACATGCAGTACCCTGAAGCTTCCTGCAGCATGCTTTTAGGTTTTGGAAATTTCATTTTCTACCTTATGATGATTACATGAGAGAGGATGAAATGCTTGCTTTGAGGTCCATTTTAGACAGATGTAATAAATGTCGTGGCTTTCCACTGCAATGGAACAAATACTTTTGCAGATAGATGGAGGGACTATGTGGTTGTATTTGGGTCATTGTGACCATATGCACAATATCTGAAAGAGTGAAAGGGGAAGAAAAAGAAGAAAAAGAGGGATTGGTAACTTAGCCAGTGAAGCATTTGTTTTTGCTCCAATTGCACATGGTGGAAAACGAGTTTCTCAGAGTCAGTCCACATTGAACTTGAGCTGCCCACACACACACACACACACACATCAAATCCCAATCCTGCAATAAATAATTAATCACAGTTTACAGCCTCTCCTCAGCTAAGTCCCAAGAGTGAGACAGCATGAAGTCTGAATTATGTCTGCCCTGTAACAGAAAGTTTTTTCTTTCAGGGCATAAGACAAGATTGAGATCATTTTAATCATGCCATACTGTCCAGGATTACTTGTTTGCAGAAGCTGATAAATTCACCTTCCTTCCAGCTACTAAGTAGAAAAAATATTTGTGTTGCTCTGATGCTTGTTTCATGACATTTATATAACATTGCATTCATACCTAGAAAGGAGAGGGCCATCTGGGCAAAATATCTGACTTAGGCATGTTTCCATGCTGATCCCCATGCAAAAGACTGTGCTCAGGTTTACCTATCAACATGGGAATTTCATGGTATTATCTGAGAAATTTTTGAGTGGCACTTGTGCAGGCTGTCTGGTCTGCAACCATATTTGTTTCTCTCCAGCAGAGATTGAGAAAATGCAAATCCTTGTTGGAGGCTAGAAGCTTAGACTTCTGTCTCAGTCACCTGGAGATTAATGAATCCAGATGGTTGGAGAGAACATGTAGGTGCCAGCAGAAGAATATTTTCAGAACAGATGCTGGAAGGATAGTGGATTGCTCTGTGTTCCACTATGCTGACGCAGCTCCATGGTGTTTTTCTGAATCAAAACATATTTGAAAGCAGATATCTGGTTGCACAGCAGAATATAGCCTAGAAGGCCATTTAATGTGTAAGCATGGGATTTCTGGGGCCTCATTTTTTAAGCTATTCTGATGGAGGAGGGTGGAGAGGAAGTTGAATATGAGTCAACAGTGTGTCCTGGCAGTCAAAATGGCCAGCTGTACCCTGGTCCTTTGTGGAACCAAGAGTTGGAGCTGTTTTGGAGCTGACGATTCTTGAGGGTCCCTTCCTACTCGTGACATTCTATGACTCTCTGATTCTAAATCTGACATAGTGTTAATAAATATGTTTACCCGGTTTACCTGTTTTTTTTTTACCTTTAAAATCTTAAATGTTATAAAATGGGTAAATCTTCAGTATTAAAATCCCACTGTATACCTCCAAGTTCGAAAGGTAAACTTTTAGGCTGATTAATATGAGTGTTCACAAATGTATCATCTATACACTTGACACCATGCTAGGACTCTAACTGGAATTCACAGAACAGCCTCTTTTTGCCAGAGCAGAATGGCAGTATCATTAGCTTTTCTTCATACTCTTTATTGTGTAAGGCAATGGTGGGATAACTAAGAAATAATGCCTAATAATTTCACGTATCATTAGAAGAATTTGTCTTGAATGGCTTGCCAGAAAAGTAAAGTGGAAACTCCAGTCTGATATTTCACCTTCATCAGGAATAAATGAATAAACAATAAATGAAAGACAGCTTTTGAAAGAGCAGAACATTGGGCACCTTAAATTCCAAAATAAATGTCATGTTATTCACTGTACAAATATTTTACTGTTTTTCAAAAATGAATCCAGAGCCTTTGTTTGATGTTATAGAGCACTAGGTCTCTGAGATATCAGCTGATGTATTGCCTTCTCATTTATATGAATCCTCCAAAGTATCCTTCCTACCTCTCAGTCACTTTGTATTTTCCTATATGTGTGAGCTCATGCACACGAGCACATACATGTGTGCTTTGGATACCCAATTTTGACAGAAGAGCCATCTAATATTTCGTGTTTTCTGGTGTCTTCATGTGTTAGATAGCTTTTGTGATACTACAAGATGAGAGTTAATCCAAAAGTAGTTCTTATTCGTAATATATTTCATGTGAGGTTTTTCTGGTATCCTTCCTGTGTGATGGAGAAGAATCAAACAGTCAGAATTTAATCATGAGGTTTTCCATAAGGGTAGGAAAATTTAAAAGAGCTTTGCTTTGCTGGGTAGAATCAAACTTGGTCATTTTAGCTGATTCCTGCTATACATACCAGACCATAGACTTCAATTAAATTATCTCAATGGCATAAGCATTTCTGAAAAAGAAATAGTCAGGAGTATTATTTTATTTTATTATTAGTATTAATATTATATATTAACATACTCTCCATGCCGATATGTGATCTTCATGTTCTGTTTTGGTTGTTTGTTTGTTTTTCTTTTTTTTTTTTTGCTTCAGAAAGCCAAAATTACAGAAAAAACATACTGGACTGAAATGATGAAAATACAAATCAATGATAGTGATCTGGTATATTTACATAGAGAACCTAGCTTATTTTAAAATAGAGGGAGAATCCATCGTTTATGTTGTTTTGCAGCATCACTTCCTGTTTTGTCACAAGCTCTTGCTCTCACCACAGTGAACAACATGAATCTTGTGAAAAAAAAGAGATGCTCTCAGCTTCCTTGTTTGAAAGTAAGCTATAGCTCTGGAGAACCAAAGGAGGAGTAGTTTGTTTTAGATGTCTGTCCATAGAGTAGATGCCTGTCCATGGAGAACAATATAGTGTCAGGGCCTTGAAAACATTTGGCTGAAGCCATGAATAAATCAGTCCTGAAGGAAATGAAATAGCAATATCTAAGAAAAATCAGGAATGTGATCTTTTCATACTTTCCTTTATAGAAATTTTCATGTCTTTTTCTTTCGAATTCAGAATGAAATACATCTTGGGCTGCAGGTTATTCCCTCTGCTACATTCCTTCCTGTGTGGGCTCCCAGGGATATACCACTTTGCACAATTCCAAAACATTCTCATCTTTAACATTTAGGCAAAGTGGTCTGAGTGACTTCATCCATAAGTCTTCCCATCAATCACCAATGCTTTTGTTGCTAAAGTGTCCTTTATGAAATAAGTCCTTATTTTATACCTTGAATATGCATGTTATTTCCAACAACGAAAGGAATACAAACTCTTATGTCAAACTCTATTGCCATCTGGCTTCCATTTAGCTGCAATGTTTCTTACTCTTGACAGTTTTGCACAGGTAGATGACGTAGATGAGGGCATTTAGAATTATCATTGCTGTACAAAGCATGTTGAGCAGCAATGGTCATTACCCGTCTGGTAATGTTCCTCCATTTTGTCATTCCAGCTGGTGTTTCACAGAAAGCTCTGCTTCTCAACAATATTTATGGATATTCTCAGCTGTTTGAAGTTATTGTGTAGTTCTGATTAATACTTCTTCCTCTCTGACACAGAAGGAACTGTGCACTCTAATACTGTCTTTATTATTTTCCATCAGATTCCATACTTCCGCATGAAAAACATGTAAATCATATTGTAGCATTGGAAGTCCACAGAATCTAGGAGCATGTGTAGTAATCATTTCACATTTTATTTTCCTGTGTACTCTGAATATCCCAAATATTTTTGGTTTATTTATGGACATACTGTTCACATGGAATACTTTGTCCTTAAAAAGTAGTCTGGCTCAGACCTCAAAGTCCATTTTTATGGTTTAGACTGCATTTGAATTGGTTATTTTAGTTTCCATCTTCAAATATAAGCTTATATTCCTTTGTCCCAGTAGTAAGTTTTGCAACAAGCAGTGAGCAACTGCAATGAGCACTGCAATGAATATTGCTAATTGTATTGATTCCCACACCTAGTGAAATCATTATACTTATCATTATATATATGTATATATACTATACTTATACTATACACTCTTTTCATATATATTTTTATTTTAAGGCTTCATAGAAGATCTTAGCAATGAAAATCACATTGCATAATTAATTTCAGCTGAACCACACATGAGTAATTCATATGAGTCAGCTTGTCTTGTAAAAAGATGCAGTAGTTATCACCCAAGTGTTTGTTTCCTTTTATAATGAAACTTGGGTCAGTTAATGGACAGATATTCTTTGTCTCTCTTTAATGGGAAGTTACAGCCAGCTTCTAGTTTGGCCTGCTCCACTTGTACCACAGCATTCAATCAATACAATCAAAACTTTTGGTTTAGCCCGCAAATATAATTGCAATTATATCTATGCATTTCAGTGATGAAACAGTGTCACTTTTTCACAGCTTTTAATTTCCAGCTGTGAGTTCTTCTTAGGCTGAAGAAAATAACTCAGATCAATTTCAGTAGCTCTTAGAGCTTCCAATACTGCTTTCAGTACTACATTAAGACAAAATGTACTTAAAAGTAGTAACTCAGCTACCATAAAAGAAGCTACTACATAGTTATTATGATTTATCTGAGAAGGCGGAAGCGTTTCTTGCTCATTTCCAGCACACATGCAGACTTTCAAAGCAGCTGACAAGAAGTGTATGAGTGTGCTTTGCCAGAGCCATTGCTTTGGTGTTCTGTGCATGGAAACTCTTCCCCATGTCAGTCTTCCAGTACTGATTTAAACAAACAAACAAAAATTGTTCTCATAGTTCTGTAGCAACTGTTGATGGAGGAGAGAATGATGGGAACAAATAGAGCACACAGAAGATTGTTCTGCCAGGTTGTGCTCCAAGAGGCAGACAGAGCCAATGACAAAGCATTTTGAGTGATTCTGCAGAGCCCGTTTACTGTGATAGCCAAGATAGTTCCTTATGTAGGGTAGATCAAATCAGATCATATCAATGAATTGACACAATGACATAGAAAAAATGTGATACAATGATGCCAGAACTAATCCAGGTGGTAAAAAAATGAAGCTGGAATGGAAATAGAATAAAATGCATGAGGGGTAAAAAAAATATTCATCCCCTGTTTATCACAAATATTTGTGTTTAATTAGTTCTTTATTGGTAGTGGCAGTGTCCTTAGACTGCTATCTTCACACAGTTTGAACTTTAATTTGTTGTCTCTACTGTAGTCCTTATTTTGGGAATAACCAACCAAATAACAAACAATGCATTATGTACTACTGTAACTATTAATAATAATATTCAGCATGCATTTATGCTTTCCTTTATCATTGTGGATATGATAAACTTACTTTCTGCATGAAATGTTGTAATACTCCAAGCAGCAGTACAAAACACTCTCAAACGTGTGCTGATAGGAAAATCTAGCATTCATTGCAGAGTTCATATATCAGAATATGTCACCTTGTGGGGGGTGAAAACACTGAAGTAATAGTGGCAAAGGCACTTGTCACACTGTCAGAGCCACATCTGATCCTACGTACCACATTTTGAAATGCAGGAGGTAGAAAGTAATGACAAGTCACCCTGTGTAATAACAGAAATGAGATCATCAGAAAAGATGAATATTGTTACCAGGAAAAAAAAAAAAGTGTCTTGTTATTTGTGTCTTCAAATTCTGTCTTGATATTTTACACTGCATGATGCTATGATGACTAAGGAGGAAGAAGCAGTGATTAAATTAAAAATCACAAGGCAACAGCCAGGTAATGTCCAGATCCAGGGCATGGGAGTACATTGTGCAGACAGAGACGGTGGGGGAGGGTACGCCATGAGACTGTCCCAATGCTCTGCCTATCCTGGAAAAAGAAGCACAAGGCTGGACAGCAAATGTGGGCAGGCTGTATCCCCGGCATCTACTCTCTTCCCAGGAGCACTGCTGGTCACCAGCCTGTGACTCCAAGACAGTCTACAGTGTTGCCTGAAAGATGGAAGTTTTGTGCAGCCTTACGTGCGCTGGTCTGCAGTATGAACATGTTCAGTCTTTCCAAGTCATGTAAAGGAAACAGCTCACTCAGGCTTAGAGCATTATGCAAGCTCACTCTTTTTTGTCAAGTACTGCAGAGATTAGTCTAAGTTATATCCTCAGAAGTAACTTGTAAGTAAAACTCAATTATTGAACATGTCTGGGCAAAAAGTACAATGAAATCTATGATTAATTCATAGCATGGATTTGTCTTAACTCAAAGCAGATGATGATACACCCTTTCCAGGGCCAGCTTCAGTGCCTCAAGCCATTTCTTCTTCAGTTACACCTCAAGCAATGATGACAACAGGTGTATTTCATCTTGTTCTTCCAGTAATTCTAATCTCTCAAGCAGGAGGAAGCATTTTCTTCAAGTGGTGCAATGTTCAGAAGTAGATAACATTGCTTGGAAGCCCTGAAGGAGTCTGACAGAAATCAACTCCCCATCCTCGTGATTCAAATTCCTCCAGTGAACTTCCTTACATCATCATCAAGCCTGTCAATAGGTTAACTCTGCCCATTTGTATGGTGATTCTCCATAACTATTTCATGTCTGATGCTTAACAAAAATCAATGAATCAGTCAATCAGCCTCCTGAAAGACAAGTGATCTTCTATCATGGCATCTGTAATCACAGCAGGAGCAAGATGCTATTTTTAACATGACATCCTTAAAGCCATAGCCTTCTCAATTTTGATTGCATCATCAGCTTTCCTCACAGCTGTTAGAGACAGCAACCTCAAATCAAATTAGCATGTTTTAATTTTCAGAGTGCTGGTAGATTTAAGAACATGCTTACTGTTAAATGCATGCTTATATATTTTTAGGGTGCCAGATCCTTCACTTCTGTAAGTATGTATGTCTTCATTTGGAAAAAAAAAAAAAAGATTTTCTTTAAACAGAGATTTGAAGCTGTTCTTCTGAGTTTTTATATCAGCACTGATTTATAACTCAAGCCCTTTTATCAAGACTGACTGATAAAATATGTCTCATCTAAGGAGAATGGGAGGCAGAAAAAATGATCACTAAGATGTGCTTGTATAGACTCGCAGACTTTTGAAACAGAGAAATCTATTCAAGCGTGAAATGGGGCAGTGATACAGGCTCCCCAGAGCAGCGGCCATGGCACCAAGCTGATGGAGTTAAAGAAGTCTGTACAACACTCTTTGACATAGGGTTTGGATTTTTGGTGGTGCAGTGTGGAGCCAGAGGTTGGACTCAGTGATGCTTGTGAGTCCCTTCCAATTCGGATATTCTGTGATTCTATGAGTCTATAAAATGAGACTAAAGTTGAAAATTCTGTTAGCATCTCCATTTTTTATGACCTAGAAAAGACTGAAAACAAGTTCCTCAGCAAACTCAATGGATGCAGAAAGGCACAAAAGGCAATGAATCTTCCAGGTAAGGAAGCATGCCTTCTTGTGCACCAACAAGTGAGGTAGAGCTGGAATGAGAGAAAGCCCCAACATTGTGTGCAACCACTGCTCAGCAGCAGCCTAGTGTGTTATCAGCATTATTTAAGTTACATATCCAAACCACAGCACCATCTGGAAGAAAATTCACTTCATCCAATCAGACTCTGTATGGACTGCTGTCCTCAGTATCTGTGCTTCCCATATTTAATCCTGAACAAGGATGAGGCTTTGCCCAGCAGTCAGATTGTGCAGAGTACACTCACTTTAAGGAATGCATGTCACTGCAGCTTCTTACTGAAGGATTGGATCCTTGGGGTGTCAACCTCACATACATAACATTTACTTAAATTTTTTTGTGAGCATAGCAGTTCCCTCCAAAAATGATTTTTCCCTAGCTAAACAAAGCCGACTATTTTGAGTATCTGATAATAGCAATGATGACTATTATAGTTATTAACTTTCTCTTAAAAAGAAAAGCAGCCCTTCCATGAGACATTAAAATCACACACGGGATGTAATTATTTTTTTTTAAGGTGGGAAAGCATGTAGGGGATATGAAATGAGCAAGCAAAGCGCTATGAGCGGTTTAAAGGTGTCTTGTCAGCCCACAACAGCAACTACTGAATGGACAAGGAAGACAAGGTAAGAAAGACAAGGGGTTCAGTGGTGTTGCCTCCTTTCATAGTGATCTCCAGACTGGGGGTAATCTCTATGCCTGTTCCACATTCCTTGCTTGTACAGACTTGACAGCACAAAAAGCACACAGAACATATTTCAGTTCTATTATTTCATAGGTTTTAAATACGCACCATAAGTGCTCCCCTGATAATGTATACTTACGTGAACTATGTTCATGTAATGCTTTAAAGATGCTGTGGGTTAACCCCCATTGGCAACTAAGCAACACAGACTCGAACTTCTCTCCAACCCCTAGCAGGACAGGAAAGAAGAAAAGGAAGACTAGAAGTGCAAAATCTCATGAGTTGAGATGATATCTAATAAATGAAGAAGTAATAGAAGAAAGAAAGCAAAAGCAATCATGCAGAGGCAATTGCTTGTCACCTCCCATGGGTAGACCAATGTCCTACCAATTCCCGAGGAAATGATGGGAACTTACCTAAGCTCTGTTCCCTCCATTTTATTGCTGAGCATGATGCTCCATCATACAGAATAGCTCTTTGGTTAGTCTGAGTCATCTCTCTGGTTGTATCCCCTCTCTGGTTAAATGCATCCACAGTCTCGTGAGAGTAAAGTGAGAAACAGACAGGGCTTTTATACTGTGTAAATACAAAGAAGGCTGTCATAAATACAAAAAAAGCAAAGCTAAAATATTGGTTTGTTATCACCATTGTTTTGGTCACAAATTTGAACCACAACACTACAACAGATGGTATGAAGATTAACTCCATTCTAGCTAGAACCCATACAAACGCTTCTAATCAGTAGCTGCCAACTAACATTCTAATTCTGGTTTATCTGGCAAATGTACGAGTCCTTTAGGTGTGCCCTTTGACATTCCCATGCTTTTTTGCTATTACCATCAGTTCCATTTTCAAAATAAAGATAAATACCTCTTTTCTCTCTCCGTGTAGTAAGACAAATTGCTTTTGCAATAAATACAGGTAAGTTGCTTGAAATTCATTTTTCTAATATGTCCTCATCATACTTTCCTGAACAGGATCTGCAGTTTCTAATGAATAAAAAAAGATAAATAAATAAAAAGATTTTACTGTGTGCAGCTATTCCAACTTCCACAATCTTAATAAAAAAAAGTAAATTAGATAGATTGCCTTTAGTTCACTTATCATAGATTTGACAGGTTTAACTTGTCCAGTTAAGTTCTGCCCACTAGCTTCTCTCTAAGCAATTTGTACTCAATAAGAATTATTTCACTGAGACTAAAATAAATTCAGTGGAGGTGACAATGGGAAGAAACCTTTTGAAGTCACTAGATTTGTGGTTGGCCACACCAGGCTTAGTGTAACCCTTCGTCTTTATTAGAACCTGCAAAGCATCAGTAACTCTGGGCAACTGGAGGGCTCAAGGGCTTGGGTGATTCTCTGTCTGCTTATAAAGTGGCAGTTGCCAATGTATCTGAACACCACTGGAAAGGCAGCTTGTTGCTGCAGGCCTGCAAACAGCATCCAGCTTAGCTGAGCTATTAAAAGTACTACCATGCCAGGCCTGTTCTACAGCATGCATGCACTGGCCTGGAAATAAAAGAAGTTAATTCGAAATTGTTTTTTTCTGGAAGCTGTGATTTTGAGCTTTCTGGAACTGCCAAAAAAACAAGAAGCCCAGTTTCTTCTTTGCTGGGCAAGTGCTGTTGCAAATAGTAAAAAGAAAAACAAAAAAGATTGTCCACCGGCCATACTTAAGAATGAAAATATTGACAGCCAATCTCTTCTGGGATAATTCAGTAGCAGCATTGTGCTTTCAGAAGCAGAAGCACAGCCACAGCATTATATCCATCCAGAGTTGTAGGCATAACATCACTTATCAAAGAACCTATGAGTGGGCTCAGGACCAGAGCAGCAGTGTGCTCAGACCTGCCAACAGCTGCAGCTGGGTATGAACAGATACCAAGATACATGTCCTTGAGGCAAAGTAGGACAAGTCAGGCAATATCCTGGGTTGCAGGCACATTGGCAGTGCATCAGGAAGAGCATTGCCAACAGGCCAAGGAGCAAAATACTTCCTCTTTGCTTATCACCGGTGAGGCACGTCTGGATACTGAGGCTGGGTCTAAGATGCCCAGAATACTGACAGTCTTAAGCCAGTTGGGAAGCATCATAGTTTTTCATATTGAAGAGCTATCTCCATTCACTCTGGGAAACAACAGTAGCCTTATTTTATCAGAGACCTCAGTATCCTGGAGCAAGTTCAGCACAAGACACAAAGACAGGGAAGGTACTGGAGATCTCACATAGAAGAAAAGCTGGCCTGTCTAGCATGGAAAAGAGATGGCCCAAGGTGATATTATAAAAGTGCATACATCACCTATAGGAGAGAATAAAGAAGATGGAGTCAGACTCTTAATAATATCCAGTGAAGGTGGTAGAGGCAGTGAGCATATGCTGAAACACAAGCCATTTAAGTTAACCATGTGATTCTTTTCTTTTTTTTCTTTTCTATTCAGAGGCTGTTCAAACACTGCAACAGGTTGCTCAGAGGTGGTGTGTTGCCTCCATCCTCAGAAACATTCAAACCTAGTCAGACTCAGCCCTGAGCAACCTGATGTAGCTGACCCTGTCAGAAGAGCCCATCAACCTCAGTTCTACAATTCTTGTGGATTACATGATTACAATTAATTTCTTAGTGCCTAAATGCTTCCTTGTGAAGAGATAGCTATTCTGATCTTACTGTCAACATGCAAAACAAGGGCAACATCAAGTTTTTTTTTACAGAAATTGAAGGGAAAGGAGAAAAAACTAGTTAACATCATAATTATCTGAATCTGAGCAAAACTTCACCACAGTACAAAATTATGTTGTGGCTGAACATTTGAAAAAGTGAACAATATATTTCTTCAGCATATAGAAAAGGTATAGTATACAGAGTTAAAATTCATCAAAATCAGAGACGTTGTAAATTGGCTGTATTTTTTAGCAGGAAAGTTCACAGAGTAAAAAGAATTGAGCAGTACATTAAGTAAACGTTCACTTCTCAACATTGCAAGAACAACATCTTGTGAATCTGAGGGCTTTGGAAATTTGCCCCAGGAGTGATGAAGAGCTTCTAGACAGAAGAAATGGCTGAGTCTCAGCTAAATTTAACTAATGTGATTTAATTAACCCAATCCAAAGAGCATATTTTCCCTATTGAAAAAGATGTCATCACATTTTCTTTAATTTTCAATGGTACAGGCCAATCTGTAGAGAAAGCGTAACAAGTCCATCACCTGAATCACTTCTCTCAAAATCCTTAGCCGTTTCATGCAACATCTCTGAGATAAGCATCTACAAGGATTGTTTTTCTCTGCTAAGGAGGCCCTTCAGCATGACGCATGCCCAATTTATGGCACTTGAAGACTTGCCAGTATTTTACCCTACGGTCTGTTTTTACATGCATCTTCCTCCAAGCGCCGCCCAGTCTGTCATAAACATTGGAAATAAGATGAAAGTCTGCTTGTTTTCATCTATACAGTTTGCTACCTCGATTTAAATCGCTCTGCAGGAGGAAAACCTTAAACAATCACTGAAAATGGGGACATCTCAGTTTGGTCAGCTTTGAAGCTTCTTAAGAAATTGTGTTTCTAAGCCTTTGTGTTTTTCAGGTGAAATGAGTCATTTGAAAGATTTCTCTATCTATGAATGGATCACTTGTGAAAGTATTTTAAATAATGTAAGTGGGGCTATAAAAGCCTTGGTTAGCCAGGCAGCTAAAACTAGCTTAACAGTTATTACCACTGGGGAGCGGTGGCAAAGTTATCCCACTTATAAAAATAGCTTTTGCCTCGTAATATTGCTTCTTTAGAAAGGAGAAATTTGTTCTAACTGTATTGTTTTGAATTGCTTAGGGAAGAATCCATCAGCCATAAGGTGACTTGCTGTTGAACTTGGTCAAAAAACTCTTAATAACTCCAGCAGATGCTTCTCAGTTTTAGGAAATGGAACTCCCCTTCTTCCACTCTTCTCTCTTTTGGAATCAGGGACCAGTATGACTGAAATCCAAGGCCATCCACAACAACTGTTAAAGCAAAATCCAGAGTTAGTCAGTCAGTGTTTATACAACTTATGTGCACAAAGACAGTATCAGAGAAGCTTGATCCAAGTCCGTTTACTCTGATGAGCACTGCTAATATAGCCAACAAAATTGCTTGGGAGAAAGATTTTAAGATTAAACTGTGCATTTCCATGAGTAATAGTCCACACTTTTAAAAATGTTGACCTTGGATATCAATGTTAAGAACCTGCCTTTCCTTACTTATCCAGGTTTTCTGTATTGTTGGACACATGGTCATTCTTTTAAATACTTTCTCACAAGAGAGAGTAGACTCTACTAGATTCTCAGTACAGTTATTACAGTGATTTCTCTTTAAGTTACAGATGCTTTTAATGACTTGACATACACAGTTCAGCCATATTGGGAATGTGATTTATAAATACTACTACTATCTCAGTGCTGTACTTAAGCAACTGTTGACACTGCTGCACTCAGACACTTACTATCAGCATCGTTGTGGTATTGTGAGCCTGAAATCTAAAACTAAATCTCTGTTGTATGATTTTTTTTTTCTAAGGAGAATGAAAAATGATGGCAGAAGGACCTCTTTATTTCCTGTAGCACACAGCTTAGTAGATATTCTTAAAGCAATATGTAATGACCAAAGAAATACAGGTGTCAACGTATGTATGGAAAAAAGTCATACCCATAAAGGATGCAGTGTCTGGAGGTTTCAAGAAGAACAAAATGAAAAACTGATTCCTGCTTCAGTATGTATCCTGCTGTTATTTAATTAAAAATAACACTGATCTGGGCTCAGTAGCACATCATTCACCAACTGTAGTATTTCGGATGCCAAAAGTGCTCATTTTCAAATATATCCTGTCAAAGGTAAGAACTGCTAGGTCTTTTGGATTCTCTTTCATACACATTTTAATATCTGTGATCGCCAGCTATTTCTTGCTTGCCAAACTTGCAAGGCCATAAATCTGTCAGAAAAGGTGCTAACTCATAGAGGATTACTTTTGGTGTTAATGGGAGTAGTAAGTCTCAGTAACATAAAATGCCTTTGTTGTCTTCTTTATTTCAGAGATTTCTGTTGAGCATTTGTACTTGGTACTTAATGCCACTAATACATGATATTTCTTGTAAATCAGTGTCCTCTGATGCAGTTATATCACATGATATTTCCCATCATACAGTTAAAAAATAATTACATAAAAAAAAGTACACAGCTATAAATACTTCCTCTACCTGTGCAATAGCAGGTGTATCAGAAGGAGCTAAATGGCATAGTGGCACAAAAATTATTGTTTTAGGTACATTCAGTTCTTTCTTTCATCTACAGTGGTTAGGAATGTGTTCAGGGAGAAAAAGGAATAACCATGGTCAGGGAAAAACAGGATAGATATGTATTAAATTCTGTTACATGTGTTGCATTTGGAGATGTATATAATGGAAGTTGAAAAATCTTTTTTCTCTCTGGACAGATCTTCAAGCTTTGTGCAGCTCACAGTAAAACATATATATATGTATATATATTTACAACTTTTGAAGAAAATGGAATCACAATTTCTGCACAAAATGTGAACCTCTTATGGTCAAACCACTTACATTCATTTAAATTAACAATTATTTGCAAGTCATTGTGACAGAACAGCAATGCCCTTATTTTATTGATTTATGACTTGACACCTCCTTAAGGACACCCAAAGTATAATGGACAACAAAAACTCTAAAGCAGTCTGAAGGGATAACTTTCGCCTGTAATCTAACTTATAAGGTGAAGAACTCAGAAATTTACAATTTCTCATAGCTTAGCTATGAATATTTAATACATAAATCTAGTTGATTTAATAAATAAATCCTGGAGGGTTCAAAAAGTTATGTGAGCACTGCTATATATCTGAATCATTTTTGACTTTTTGTAGCCAGCTTGCATTTCAAGCATACCTACCCTGTTTTTTTGATTTCAAATCAAAGTGAAGATTAAAACAGACAGGATTCAGTATTTCCTTTAAACTCCAACTATTTTCACTACTTGCATCATATTACCTGTGAATGTTTGAATTATGGGAAATTACAAGAATAGCTGAATATCCGGAATAAAGACGCCAGAAATAATTGATCAAATAATTTTATTATGGAATAAAGATCAAATTACTTATAGAACTGATTATTGTACAGTGTTTGTAAAGTGAAACATCAAGATTGGCATCAGCTCCAACATCACTACGTAAGCTCAGTTCCTAAGATTATGTAGCATCTGTACCTTACAAGAAGATTGTGCTTTGGTTTAAGCTGTATAGGGACTACATTTTACACCAACCTGGTCTATAAAAAAATGAGAAACAACAGGCTCTCCCATATTTCTGCCAAGAAATAGTGGGAATTTTCCCAAGAATTTTTCCATTCAGTATCTGAGCGTGTTTACTAAACTAGAACAAAGGTGTTACTTGGAGAGATTGTGTCTTTCCTGTCAAGATCTCTCACTGTGTTATGATTTGTGGATAGACCAGAAGCACGTCTATGAACTACAAAGATAACCTGAAGTATCAGGGGTTTTTTTTTGTTTGTTTTTTTGTTTTTTGCTTTTTTTTTTGTAGAGAAAACACAAGATAATGTTGTACAATCACGTGAATGAAAGAAAAATATTGCACACATCCCGATCACTCTCTTGGAAGATATACTAATTTGAATGACACCAATCACCATTCTTTCTAATAGGTCAAATAAAATCTTAGCCTCATAGAAAAACGTATATGATGAATTTGTGGTATATATTCTTTAAATTCACTATGTATCATTTCATTTTTTCAAAGGAATTAAGGCAAAAAACCCACAAACTATACTGCAGATTCTAATGCAATGGTGAGAAAAACAACACAGCAAATCTTATTATTAGACCAGGCCTCAAGGATCCACATGGAAGGAAAAGGAGACAGTGCTGACTTTTCCTGAGATCAATGGGACTTCTCAGACACAGCTTTTCTGAAAACCAGATACTTGCTCTCCAAACTGTGGACAAAGAATTCCAAAGCCTTGTTTTAGAATCTACTTCAGACAATGGTGTCTTCTCTAGGGAGCACTGTTTTCCCTTCTGATGTGTATTTTTAATACTGAATCATACCAGCATCTACAGCCTCCCTGGGAAACCTGTTCCAATGCGTCACCACTCTCTGAGTGAAAATTCTTTTTCCTAATATCTAAATTCAGTCTCCCCTGTCTTAGTTAAAACCACTCCCCCTTGTTCTGTCACTGTCCACCCTCATGCAAACAGCTGTTCCCCCTCCTGTTCATACGCTCCCTTCAAGTTGAGGAAGGCCACAATGAGGTCTCTCTGCAGCCTTCTCCAAGCTAAACAAGCCCAGTTCCCCCAACCTTTCTTCACAGGAGAGGTGCTCCAGCCCTCTGACCATCTTAGTGGCCCTCCTCTGGACCCGCTCCAAGAGCTCCATGTCCTTCTTGTGCTGGGGGACCCAGGCCTGGACGCAGTACTGCAGATGCGGAAAGAAGCCAGTCGGTCATGAGCATATCACTGCAGATCAGCCACAAAAAAAATGGTGCTGGGGCAAATGTTTATGAAATGAAAGATTTTGAAAATGAGTAATTATAAGTGAACAATTCATAAAAAATGATATTTTTAGCTTGAAAAATACATTCGGAAGTTTCTTATTTTAGTAGAGAAAAGGCTACTTTCATTGAAATAACTAAGAAATTCTTGCACAAAACATAGCATTTGCTTTCTTTGATTTGTTGAACGAATTCCAATACATACACTTTTTCAGAAGAGAATATTTTAGGAAGGCTACATTTTTGCCTTTTTGTGGGTTTTTTCTTTTTTTTTTTTTCTTTTTTTTTTTTTTCCATACAGAAAATACATTTTAAGACATTGCAATCGAACCTGTTAAAATACAAAAAAAAAAAAAAAAAAAAAAAGCCGGTTGGCATTGTTTTGTCTTTAGCATGCAAGCAATTTAAACAGCCTCAGAAATGCTTAGGAAATGGCACAAGATAAGTCTTCAGTAGACAGCAGTCTGTTACTGGATGATTTCACCCTAAGCATGAAGATATTTAAATATTTTTTTTCACATTACCTCTGAGCACATTGCTTTTCTGATAGATCTGCGGTTGAGTCTGCCATCAGTAAAAATCACTGCTGGAGCTGCTACGAGAGACACGCCAGACTCTTTGGAAAATTTTATTTATTTTGTTCTCTTGTCTTTGTAAGAGGCATTACAAGTATTAAAGCAGAGTAGTCATTAAGATTACAGTTGAGGAATGATTAATTATCTCCCCTCTGTCACCTCCACATATCTTCCCTCTGACCCGTTTCTCTCTTCTTTCCCTAGCGCTCTGTGGACCAGGTTCTGATTGGTGACGTCAGTGATGCTGAGATCAGAAATTGGCTCATCACTTCTATTTTTCCCTTGCCTTCCCTCTAATTTGCCTTTTTCTGTGCTTCTCTTCACAGACTCTTCACTGCAGCTCCCAGCACTTTGCAGGTATCCTTGACTACAGCTCTTATTCCCCAATCTCTGGCCAGCTGGAGCAGCTCCCTGGAATGATATAATCTAGATTGAAGGCAGGTGGCCAATCAGCAAATGAGCAACTTGTTGGCACACAACATAAGTGACTCAGCCACTATTTGGTCCCATCTTACTGTCTTAAATTTGGCCAAAAAATAGATGTGGAGAGTGGACCTTGAAGAAGATGACTAGTGAAATGCATGAATCAAAAATAAAACCTGGCTTTTAAGAAACAAAATAAAGTCATAGTTCTTCCCAATCAACAACCTACCTGCAAGGCAAAACTAGCACAGACAGATGTTGCAGTGGATTTATATTGTGTTTTTAAGGTGGGACAAAAAGAGTTGCATTACAAAGTTCTATGATTAAATGGATGGCAGAATTTCCATGGGATGGAAAATCTTAACAAATCTTTAAAGCTGTTCATTGTACAATACTGTAGATGTAACATGAGGTTTGTATATGTATCCAATCCTGAGTAAGATCTAGGCACAAACAAATCAATATGCATGTCATTTGAACACATTTACAAAGGTCTACTTGTATTAGAAATCAAAGGACAATCTCCTGCAAACATTTCCACCTACATGAAGTTGCTGAACAAGTTGTTACAAGGATAAGTCACTGCTTATTTTCATTGCATTTTTTGGGAAAGCTTGATTTTCAGAAGAAATTTTTAGTACATGGAAACTGAATTGAAAACCAAAAGTTTTTAAACATGCCTGTCATCATTCATGTTGAAAACGTTGTCATAGAAGGCCTTGGAAATACCACTTCCAATTAACTTCCAGCAGTTAATTCATGCAGTTCAGGGAAAAGGAGATTTACCATGTCAACAGATTCAACACTTCCACTAGATAGACCACATAGGAGAAATACGCCATGAGCATACTGCATTAGGGTAATTGTAGGCCTTTGTGTTTTCTAAGTGGAGATCATCTGTCTTGCAAGAATTTGGGTGCTTGGCCAAATTACACTAGTGAAAAAAAGGTTCACAATTGTGGCATGCTGAGACAGAAGTTCTAACATCATTTGTCAACATAGCTCTGCATACTTGAAAAGAAGGGCAGTGTTAGGGATCTCAGCAGAAGTGTCTGCACAGTTTACAAACCCAGTTTAGCATCCAGAGCCAATCCATGCTGCTTTCTTTAACACAACACACAAAAGAAATGAACAAGAAAAATGTGGTGGTTGTGTGCAGTATAGTTCCAGTACTCTTTGGCAGGAATTCATTTGCTGTTATCTAAACTGGAAAGGAAATAATTTCCTAAGACAGACCTATATAAAATGTGTGTGCTTTCAGAAACAGACAAAGTTCTACCTGTGATGCCTCAACTCCCATTTGTACAGTCATTTTTGTTTGCTTATTTTTTAAATCAGTGCTTTATTTTCCTAAGGGTCTCTGTCAAAGTCTGGTCAGACAGCATGACATAAAAACCAGTATGCTTGAACCTGACTGATCTGTGTGATGCTCTAGTTCCTTGCAAGGCTCATGATAAATATCAGTCCTTTTCACAGCAGATTTTCTACTCACCAGTGCCTGTTAATAGTCAGAAAGGTTCTTGAGTAAAATGATCCCACAGTGTAAAAGAAACAATCCACCTACACATTGAATAACACTGCCTGGAAAATGACACTTTCTTAATGACTGAAATTTGAGATCTCTTGGCTGACTTTCCTCAGTTCAGCTTTAACCTCTCCAGTATCACAGAACTGGTAAAGTACTTGTTTCTTAAATTAATTATCACTGCCTTGACTGTAATAGAAAATAGTGTAGAAGTGTAAGTAATCCAAGATAGTGTGTTAAGAGGGTGAGTTGTTTACAATCTCTTTGCAATTTCCTTTATCCCTGAGATCATCCTTTATCCAGCTGTAGTCACAACAGCTTCTACATGAAGTTACTTATGCGGAATCTACCAAAAACACCTACCTGATGAAACACTGCATAGAAATGAGTTTTGAAGTACTACAACAGCTATCAGCAAAAGCTGCAGTAGCCATGAGGACGAAAAAGAACTGATTCAGTCAACTAGACTTCCCACTAGCTGCCAGGAGCCCCCATTTCACATTCCTTGGCCTGAATTTTCTCCCATGGATAAGTATTAACTCTGGGTTTTTTGTTTCTTGTTTTTTCATTTCCGGCATGGTGTCTCTCATTCTTACCTGCTCTTGTACTGTCTCCAATCTTCACTCTCCTTTGTTCTTCCCTTGAAAATGCAGATCTCCATTCTTCTCCCAGACAGATTTTCATAACTAACTAGGAACAGAGAAGTCAGTGTCAGGTCTCAGGTTCATCTTTATATTCGAGAACAGCTACAAAACAAAAACAAACAAACAAAGAAGAACAACAAACAAAACAGAAAATGGGTATTTAGAAGTAGCAACATTCTCTGCTGAGATCCTTAATTCTTCAGAAAAGCCAAATTGTTGCAGATTTGGTACGTAACAGGACAGGGAGAAGAGGATAGGTATGAATACATTAACAATGCTGATAGTGAAGCTGCATCTCAGAGAAGCCCTGCCAGATTTTTCAGGATAATGTAGTCCCATGCGCTGTGAGTGCTACTCTGTGGGTGCTGACTTCACAGTTGTACAACCCACTTCTCCACTGTATTTGGGTTATTCCTCAATAGTCCATGAGATTTTAACAACTTTGCCCATGAACTGAAACACGGCTGTGCTCCTAATATCCTATTGATATTACTCATTCACATGGTCCAATCTCTTCCATCCAGAAATCTTTAACTGACTATATGTACAGGTTTATGGGGCTCCTGTGTAGGCCAAATTTGCCAAGCATCGTGAACAGCTAGAAGTTTGTCCAACCATCTAATTTGTTTTTAAGTGGGTAATTTCTATTTTATGTTTTGGATGGTTTCAGAATCAAATACAACAGTACTTTTAGGTTTAATGGCTTGGATCTATCCTGCATAAGGATTTCTGCAACATCTATATTCTCAGGAGTTATTTGTGAAAGTCCTTCCTGTAGTGGATGCAGAGGCAGCAATGGTTGTGCATTTTCTTTCTTTTAGAATTGCTCCCAATATAATTCCTTCCAAGTGTCAAAGACCCAGCTTGTTTGAAGTCTTGCAGGTAAAAAGGATGCACTTTTGGCTCAGGAAAAGCAAGCAGCAGCTAGAACAGCAGAATACCTGCTTTGCCTGTGCTGAGAAGACAGCAGTCAGCTTCCTTAGTGTCCTCTGCAACCTGAACAGTCAGTTGATTTTATCTTCTACTTGCATAACCGTGGCAGCTGAGGAAAAAGTTGAGGGATGTAAGGTGGTGGCAGAAACAAGCATTAGCAACAAGGCACTGAGTCCATTTTTACTACTGGCTATCTCCCACATAAACAGAAAAGGCAGCAAGCTCAGTCCTTTCTAAGCAGCATGCTTTGTATAGGAAAGTAGCTGGAAACAGCAGTGTAGCTGAATGCAGGAAGAAGATGGAGAGGATAGAGATACCTGTAATCACAGATTACATCCATTTTTTCCCCTTGCAAGAACGTTTATCACCAACAATCAAACAGAAGGAGGGAGTTATGATTACAAATCCTAATTTATTAATTAACAATAATGCACCACTTCTGTGATTTTTGTTTATTAATCTTTTTAAGAACAAACAAAATGTTTACTGTCATGCAGGATAATGATTGCTTTGCAAGAGATTTCTAGAAATTTCCAGTCTTTTATGTCTGTTTCAGGCTTTATGTAACTACATCTCAATTACACTGTCACTAGACTTCTTTATTTTCTTGTTATTCCCTTAAGAGTAGGCTGTATTAGCATATTTTCTTGTAAATGGTGCTGCTTTAGTTTTCTTGTTCCAGGGGCTCTTTTAAACAACAGCTAATACTAGTTTCCACTTGTCTTTAAAATGTGATCTTTTTTTGTTACAGAGGGGACAGTTATTTGCCCACTCTTGCTCAGACCACTTCTATCTACCCACTCATAAACTTGTCTTCTTCCTTGCTAATGGTTCATAGAGGATCCAGTCTAAACGGAGTTTCAGAAACTCAAAGCAAAATGTGGTGTTTTGTGCTTTTTTTAAATCCTTCTTATTGAGTTAACCATGAAGCTTAGTACAGTTATGTACCTGTGCTGCATGGCAGTCTACATACCACAGATTGCAGCATGTAGCGTTAACTACTGCTAGCATACATGAACTGAAACTTCAGCATGCATACAGCATCCATACTTTTCATAAAATATGAGTTGCATCTGTGTGCAATAATGTGTGATAATTTGTTCACAGTGTCAAGCCCTGTGAAAAGGCTGATGGCAACAGAGGCAAAAGGTGCACAGCCACAGTCCTTAATGTTATCATGAGCGTTTATCAGAGTAAATGGTGGCAATACTGTGGGACAGGAACACATCCCTGATATTCCCACAAAAATCCATTTATTTTGCTAAATAGGATGTAAAACAAAAGGCCAGTAAGTAATACAGATGACTATTTTATATTAACTGGAATTAGCAAGTCCCCTAGATTTAGTTCTGTTTGGCAGACACTTCTCCAGTACAACTCCACTGCTCCTTGATGGTCTATTTTCATTGATACTTTCACGTTGTAACTTGAACAACCAAAACATGAGGTTTTATACTTAACTAATTTTTCCTAAGTATTAGCATGTCAAGATTTTGTGGCCTCCTTCTTTGTAATATCTTGCAGTAATAGTTTTCAAGTGTTTTCATGTCCTTTGAAAGTCTTTATGGCATCAATAACTGTCTCAGATAACAAAGAACAACTGAATCTTTCCCTAATTTTGGGAATGGCCTCCCATTTGCAGATCTATGTCATTGCTCTTAAGAGATCATTCTGTGTATATTTTAGAGCAAAAAAGTCCTCATTAAACCCATTTGACAGAGAAACTCTAGGTAATTTTAGGAAGTGGTAGAATTACCAGAAATTCATAAGAGCTGAGTAACTGCAACAGTTTTATACAGAGTATGGAAAGTGAAAGAAAGAAAATCCTTTCTGTTTCTTGATAGTTTTTAACAGAGTATTTGAAAACTATAGGTAACTGGATTGTCACCAGAACTTAAATCCTGATTATCTTTATCAGGAATGAGCTATTTTCAGGCTACTCAATATGAGTATCTAGTTCTGTTCCTTCATTCACACGTGAAAGAACAAACACATAAATAAATAAATAAAGCTTAAAAAGATTTTTTTTTTCCCTCATTAAAATATAGTTTGGATGACTCTGTTTCAGGAACAAAGCATAAAGCTTCCTTTGAGATAGGAGTTTTCAGACTAGCAGAAGCCTTGAAGTCTTCTTATAAACGAAACAGGACAATAAGTTCATCATGTTTTGAATGTGATAACACTCTCCCGCATTCTATCTGGGGGTTAAAGAGTGCTTGGAAAGAGATTAGGGTTCTGACTCATAGGTATTGCAGTACACTGCTGCAGCAGTTAAAGACATTACAAACACAGGCTGTTCCGTCTTCTGCCAGCCACAACAATGGAGTGTCCCAGCCACCACAATGTACAGTTTCTTCATCAGATTTTATTTCCAGTTCAACAAAAGAGCAGGGTGACTTTGTGAAATGGGCAGTGACAGTATCTTTTTTCTTTTTTCAGTTTCTCTTTTTCAGGCAACACTCTTTAGTGTTCTCTTAAAGCAATACTTTTTACTATTTGCTATTGAAACACACATTCACTCATTTTTTAAAACATACACATTCAGTTCCATGCTATACCTCCTCAGCTGGGAACTTATTTAAGCCCATCAGCATATGGCCAGATGCCTAACCAGCCCTAACAACAAGCTCCTCTTCCACATCGTTGCAAGACCAATGCAAAAGCCTGTTCCACATCCCTACAAATTGACAGAGCTCCGTGGTAGAATTCACCACTTCACAGCTTTGGCTCAAAAGCAGTGCCATATCTGCACTTTAGCTATAATGATTGCCACTAGAGTAGTGGAGTCCAACATCCACCAGTAGCTTATGAACACTTTAAGAATGAGGTAGACAAGCCTCAAGAACATGCTGTTTTCTCCTGACTCCACCACACCAAAGGTTAGTAATATGGCTGATGGGAGTGGGAAAGAAAGATTGCCAACAAGTTAGTGTAGTACTAAAACATCCTGTGTGAATCAAATAGAATTGGGGTCTGAGATGTGCTACACAACAGCTGTCATAAGAGTGGTATTTGTACAATCAGAAGATCTCAGTAGTTTCTCACAGAAGGTATCTAGCAAAACTGTAAGTACAGTCTTCACTGCTGAGTCCCATCTATGGTCAGCCTTTTCAATATTCATATGTCATTTCAAGAATTAGTAAATGCAGTGTTTTCCAAAGTATGAAGACAACATGTAGGCTACAGCTGTTTTGAGAACAAACTGCATAGCTTAATGTCCTTAGCTATCTCAGTTGTATAACATAATGTTTGTTGCACAAGACAAACTGGACAGTAAAAATACCTTACCTTGAAGCTTCTAAGCACATCATAATGACTTATGCAACTAAGTGACTCAAGGAGATTAAAATGTCTTGCAATAAAATAGTGCTCCACAAGTTTGAGTCTAGCAAGCTTACAGGCCAGTGAAGAGGATTGCTAAGGGTGAACAGGCTCTAATTCATGAAGAAAGCAAGAAAATGCAGCAACGAACACAAACCCCACAAAACATGACAAGTTAAGAGAATTTACCTGCGATAGATTAGGAACAAGTATACAGTTGATCAACTTATTAAAGACTCTATAAACAGCACACAGACCTTTTTATTATAGAGATATCTTTGATTTGTTGAAAATATATGGATTTAAGGCTTTAACTGAGTTACTAATCACTTATATGAATTATTATGGATGGATGTCCCTTTCTATATTCAGCAATTTTCATAAAATCATATAATATTGTGAGCTAGAAGGGACTCACGAGGATCAACTAGAGTCTGCCTCCACTCAGGATCACCCAAAATTCAAACCATGTGTCTGATGGCATTGTCAAAACACTTCCTGAGCCCTGGCAACTTGGGTCTGTGATCACTATTCTGGGGAGCCTGCGCCAGCGCTTGACCACCTTCTTAGTGAATAACATTTTTCTAATCACAAAATGATGTAGGGATTGGAAGGAATCTCTGGAAATCACCTAGACCAAATACTGATAAAGCAGATTTCCTAGAGAAGGTTGCACAGGAAAGATCTCTAATAATTTCCAGAGAAGGAGATTCCACAACCTGACCCTTCCCTGATACAGCTCCATGCCATTCCCTCAGGTCCTGTCACTGTCAACACAGAGCTGAATTTCCTATGATGAGCTGCAGCTGCCATGAGGCCTTCCCCCAGCCTGCTCAGCTCGGGGCAGAGAACACACAGAGACCTCAGTTGCTCCTCATCTTGCCCTCCAGACATTTCTCAATGTCCATAGCCTTCCTTCTCTAATAGCTTTATATCCGTATGTGTTCATCTACGGATGCTCTGTATATAGTCCCATGGTGAATGACTTATTTTGACTTTAACATCAACTCAGTGAAGATATTCTTACAGCCTACCCAGAGTGTGAACATTAAATTAGGAGAGTCTGGACGTTGACAATGCCAGTATATTTTAGCTGAAATCAAGCCCCACACATTAAATCAAGTACCCTCATTACCAAGCAACCATACTTCATTTCCATGCATCTGATATCACAGAATGGTTTTTGTAGGGCCTTCAAGATGAACTAGTTTCAAAACTTGTGCTATGGGCAGGGACACTTCCCACTAGGATCAGGCTGTCCAGAGGCCCACACAATGTAGGCCTGAGCCTCCAAAGATGGGATGTCCACAGCCTCTCTGGTCAATCTGATCCAGTACCTCAGAACCCTTATTGTGAAGAATTTCTTGCTGACACCAAATCTAAATCTACCCTGTTTTAGATTAAAGCTTTTATCTCTTGTCCTATCACTACATGCCTTTGTAAAGTTCCTCTCCATCTTTGTTTTGAGTGAACATTTGTTACTGGAAGACTGATGCTCGCTGAGTGTTTCTAGAGACCAACAAATGGATGTTAGCACAGTGAGGCAGTGGGTGGTGTGTTTCAGTAGCAGTGGCAACAGTGACAGTGGCTCTCCTCTCCTGGTGCAGATTTTTGTAAGCACAGCATGCAGGCTCTTTTTCATTGTTAGTGAAAAAACATAGCTAATGGTGGCAAACTACGTTGAAAAATAGTGTTTTGTAGCTGAGAATTTGCACTATCAAATGGTGTTATTGTGCTCTTTGTATCTGTCTTAGTTTCCGTGGCAATAAATAAGTGGCATTACTTTCGGAGCAATCAATATATGTAACAGTGTCTTATCCAGAATTTTTGTGAAAGTCACCCCTTCAAAAGGCTATTGCCTAAACTCATTTATTTCTTACCTATATTCATACCATGAAGTAGAACAGAACCTGTAATAAATGAAATGTCCTCTACGTTTTCTTTTTACCTTAATTAAATTGAATCACCCAAATATTCATAATCACACATTGTTTATTTTTTCCAGTACAGTACATTCACAGCCTTTGCTGCTTACATGATAAATATTCTACTGTGTTAATTTTCCTTATGTGCTCCCCCACTGCACTGTGATTTGCACAGTTCTACAAGTGGGAACACTACAGTAAGCACTTTACCTTGTACTCAGAGACAAGCACCAGCTTGTCAATTCAATAAAATCAAGTACAAAGTAAAACACTTGCATGAACACAAAACTTGGACTACCTGGGTAGGAAGCAAAATACTAACTTCTAGAAGAAGCAAGGAAATGCACAGGATCAACTCCATTTGCCTCTGCTTTTCCATAGAGTAAGAAAGAAAACGAAGCAATGGAATTGGGTAGACCATAAAACAAACACAAATGTAGTACTACTCACACACAGACAAACCAATTGTTTTGGAATGCACTCATAAACACTCCTTAGACAAACTAAATAATTATTCCCCTCTATTTGTTCTCCACTGTTTAGCTTTGAGAAGATCTCAGCTGAATATTATCTTCTGGACATCACATACAAATAAACACACCTTGAGAGTTTAAAGCAAATGAAGATACTTTGAAAGACACTCTTTCTTCTAAACCTATGAGGAAAGTTGAGGAAAATTTATATCTTCAGGAGAAAAAAAAAAAAAAAAAAGAAAGACGAAGGGAAAAATGGTCAGACATACCAAACACATTCATGAAAGTTAATTTAGAATTGAAAATATAAATTAAATAACTATTACCTCTTCCACAGGAGCAAGAAAAATTCTAGTCATATCTAATTAATTGCTTTGTTGTCAATTATATCAGGCTATGATGTGCCATTTTTAATGGAATCTGTCACACTCATCCATATTATGTACCACAGATCAATACATGGGTAGGTAGAATATCCTTCCTTCTAAGGTTCACGTGCTTCAGCAATAAGAAGTACTGTCTCCAACACACAATGGACAAGACATAAGAAGACTTCTGCAGAGAGTACAAGTAAAAGAGACACTTTCCAGGGTTTCTTATATCAATAATTTACTTAATCGTCACAGGGTTTGCGTTGACTCCTTAGCAGAAAGGAGAAAGGGGGTGGGGAGGGAGTGGAAGGAAAAGGAAAAAAATAAAAGGCTGCTGCTTCGCTGCTTCTCTTTTGTGTAAGCCAGGCACATGAACTATCTTGATGTGTGACATCAGACTTTCCCACCTTATTGCAGAAAACCCATGGAGGCCAGTCTGAGGTCCCCAGATGATGATGATCTGAATGACTTCACCATATGGCAAGAAATATCTCATCTTTACCCCATTTTCACCTTTCAAAACTTCCATTAAAGTTCAAGCATGTAAATAGGCCTTTCCTCTAGGCATTTTGAGGTAAATACTCTCTACCAGAACAGCAATCAACATTATCAGAAACTATCAGACATCTATTTTCTTAAAGCAAGTCTTCACTTTGCTCACTTAAGGCTTCCCTGGGTATATTTTAAAAAATAATAATCCATTGTTGTTAATTGCATAGAAACCTGAGCATGTAGCCACCTCCATGGAATGTCATAGCTTTAACTCATTTTCACTGTCCATCTAACCTTAGCAGCTGGACTTTGCTGAGGACTGAGGCACTAAAACAAACAAACAAGCCCCTGATTTCTGCCATTTCTGCTGCAATGGCTGTAACTTCTGGCAGAGAACTATCAACACAAATTGTTGCAGCAAGGCCTTCTTATGAGGTAGTCGTAGGCAAGCTGCAACTGTAACTGCAGCTCCCTGATGGCTATCATTTGCCCTCACATTTTTAAGTTTTGCTAAGACAAATAAATCAGTGGGAAACTAATATTTTCATTTTGCTATTCATGAAGCTTCTCCCACTCAAGTCTCATGCACAAAACTGTTATTGATCCTATCAATTTCACTAAGTATTTTTAGATTAGTTGAATATCCTTTCTTTGATCCTGACAAAAATAAATAAATAAATAAATAAATCCAACCTCTCAGTCGGGTTACCAATCAAATTAATTCATACTTTACCAAAGAGCAAATGGAAAAAGTTTGACATTAACAATATACCCACTCATCTGAAGCTTAGCTGTTCCAAACAGAGGCAAGAAAATTGGCTGCAGTGCCCTCCTAAAATAAAGGTAATTGTTTATTAAACATAGGTACACTTATCTCGAAGCTTAATTTTGCATTTCTTCTTTATTTTCTGTATCCTTTCTTGCAAACAAACAAAAAACAAGAACAAAAAAACAACCAATCAAAAAAAAACAAAAAACAAAAAAACAAAAAAAAACCAACCCCACAAAAACTGGCTTGAGCTGGTTTGTAATCGTTTGAATACTGCCAAGTTAAAGAGCTGGCACACTGTGCTACATAGCACAGAAGCTTCCACTCCATTGCTTGGTGTTTGCTTTCCATTTTGGACACATGGAAAAAGCGCAGGGCCTGCAGATTAACTCTGGGAATTGATAAAAACAAATATCCAAAGAATCTGCCCACCAGATACCTGTTTATAGTTATGGTAAGATGAAAATGAAAGGAAAGAGGAAGAATCCTTTCATTTGTGTTAGAATCAATTCCCAAGAACGCGAGCTATGATTCCAAGATGCCGGATTGCAACTTAGAAAGCGGGTTTAAACTTAAGTCTCACATCACTCGTGGATCACAGTTTTAAGTAGCAATTGTGGATACTTGTATACACAGATTTGAAAGCGTTTCCATTTCTTTCATTTTCTCGATGTAGCTCACAAAAACAGTGATGAACTGAGAACAGCACCTTCCCTAGTTGTTTTATTGGACACTCAGCGCTTCCCGGCGTTACCACCAATTGTCTGACAGTTATCTAACGGCATTTTGGCAGTGAATTCGAGCAACAATCAAGACGAAGCTAAGGATCGAGCGGCGACACCTCGGAAGACACATAACAACAGTCTTTAGCACTGCATCGGTAAGTTATAACCGAGTAGTTACCGCTCACATTCCACCAGCAATAAAGGTCCAAAGCAGCCGCAGAACAACACCCGCCGGTGCTCCGGGTCCTTACACCCGGTCACTTACTCCAACAGCGCAGCATCACGCTAAACGCAGGCGAGTGAGGGGAGCGGCAGACTTTCCTTCACCTTAAACTGACCTCTTGCAAAGCGTGCGGCCCGCAGGACAGGCACACCACCTGCAGAGCAGCAGGCTCCTTCCTCGTGACGGGGTTAGGACCGCGCGCACCGCCGCACTCTGCCTGCCGGCGTGCTCGTGTCTGAGCAGCCCGTGACGGCCTGTTCAGAGCGCGGCCCCGCGGCGCCGTTACATAAACAGCGGTACCTTCCGCCAACAGCACCGGCGACGCGCCGCCTCCCGTGGGTACGCGGCCGGGATCGGATAAAGCCCCTCCGGCCCGGGAGCGGGCGGCGTGCCGAGCGCAGCGCAACGGCGCCATTTACCCGCCCGCACTGCGCCGTCACCGATCTGCAGCCGCTCCTCGCGGCCTCCCGTTGGCACGGGGCTCCGGCGGGGCGCGGCGCCGCGGCGGGACGGGGGGCGGCCGCCCCGAATATTGTCGGCCACCTCCTCGCCGCGCCACGGCCGCGGCCCCGAAGTTTCGTTAACGCCTTTCCGCGAGTCTTTTTGTTTGTGCGTGCGTCCCTTTCCGCAGGCAGGTGTCCCGCGGCGCACACCGCCAGGTGCGGGACGCGCCACCGCCCACCGCCCGCCGCCCTCCGCTCGGCTCCTCCCCGCTCCGCCCCGCGGCGGCGGGCCGGCCCAGGCAGGCCGTGGGGCAGCATCGCGCTTCCAGCACCTTCTCCACCTATCCCCGCGCCGCCCGCCGGCGCCTCCTCACGGAGGTGGCCCCAGGCCCGCGCTCTGCTCCGCGCGGGCGGGCCGGGAGGCGGCGCGGCGGAGTCTGGCGGCGGCGCGGCTGTCGCGGACGGAGCAGGGCGCATTCCGCGCCCTCCGCCCCACGGCCTCCCGGATGAGCGACGGGCTGCAGCGGCCAATAGGGGCCCCCCTTCAGCGCGAAGGGGCGGGCAGTCCCCGCCGGCGGACCAGTGGGAACGGCGCTTCCTGAGCCGCGGCGGCGGCGGCGTCGGCGCGGGGAGGTGGCGGAGGGGGGCCGTGGGCGGGGCCGGAGTTTGGGAAGCGGAGGGAATGGCTGTCACCGGTGAAGTCATGCTCGGCGCCTAGCCTCTCTCCGGCCCCGCTCCGCTGCTCGCCCAGAGGCAGCGGCGCGACACCCGGTGCGGTGCTCCGCCCGAGCGGAAGGTAAACGCGCCTCGCCCCCCGGGGCCCCGCGCCGTCAGCTCCGCACAGCCGCCCCGCGCGCTCTTGGAGCGCAGCCCCGGCTGCCCCCCGCCCGGTACACCCCGGTGTACGCACCGCGAGCGCGGCGCGGGGAGAAGAAAGTTTGGATGCGGTGTCGGGGGAATAAACCCCACACGTATCGTCGGGGGAAGGGGACCGCGAACGCCTGCGAGCTGCGCGATTCGGCCGCGGTTTTTCGCTCCGTCCTCAGCGGGGACGGAGTCGGAACGGGGAGCTGCGCCCGGAGCCGCCTGCCCCTGCTGCGTGGCCCGGGTAAGTTGGGGCGTCCTGCGGCGGAGCGGGGTGCTGTGCTGTCCCCGCGACGCTGCTGGCACCTGGAGGCCGCGGGCTGGGCGCCTGTCACGGCGCGGGAGGGAGGCAGGGAGGCGGGGAGGGCCGCGGCCCCGCGCGGGGCTTCCGCTGCCTCCGGTCCGATCCCCGCGGGCACCGCGCCTGCCCGGCCCCCGCCCAGCACAGCGGCACACAGACAGACACAGACGCACAGGCACAGGCGCACGGACACAGACACACACACACAGACGCAGACGCACACACAGAGACACAGACACACACACACAACGTGCGCTCGCGGTTTGGCGATCGCCTTTCCAAGCGAAAAGCGTTTTATTTCCGGTGTGCGCGGAAATTTTTTTTTTTTTGTTATTGGATCGCACCAGGCTTTGCCCCAGCCGCGGCTACGGGACGCGGCGCCGCTCAGTGCCCTGCCGCGCCGACAGAGCTCGGCACCTGGAAAAGTTCTCTCCTTGCCGGGGCGGGCGGAAGATCAGGAAGCGGCCCCTCCGCTCGCGGACACGTTCGGTGCCCGTGACACGGAGGCGGGGGCGCGGTGCGGCGGGACGCCGGGCCGGGCTCTGCCCTGAGGCGCTCCCCGGGGCGAGCCCGCCCGCCGCGGTCGCCGCCAAGCCCCGCCGCGGTACGGATCCGTACGACTCGGCCGGGCGGAGGAAAGGAGCGGGGCCGCGTCTCCCCGCTCTGCGGAGCCTTTGGACCGAGGCGAAAACTTTCCAGAAAGGCCGGAGGGGCGCGCGGGGCCCGGCGGGGTGCAGCCCGCCGCCTCGCCGAGGCCTACGTTCCTCGGCCGGGCCGGAAGCCGTGCGGCGCTGCCGAGGCGCTGCCCTGCCCCGCGCGGGCGGCGCGTAACGGTCCCGCGGACGCCGTCTGGGAGCTCCGCGCGGGGTCGGAGCCGACGACGGGCTTCGGGTCCTGCCTGCTCCCTCCCCCCAAAAATTTGTTATGTTTGCACACAGCTGGGAAAGTTACGGTCCTTCAGGCTGCGGCCAAAGTTACCGTTAAATGATTTTTTTTTTTTTTTTTTTTTTTTTCCTTTCTCCATTCGCGCATCGTTATTAAGTAAATAGGGTCGTTCCGTGTCGGTTGGTGTAGCCGCGCGATTCGCTTCGGCGTCGGCTGTTCGTGACACGCAGCCTGGCCGAACTTCGGTGAACACCTCTCTTTTTGTCTTTCCGTGAATACTTCGGGTAAGTAAATGGCCAAAGAAAGGAAACGGTAAAAAGCGGTTGGTTTTTATTTATTTATTCATTTAGTTGATTTTTATTTTTACCGCTGGAAGTAGTGTGCGCGCTTTCTGCAAAAAGTGACGTAGGACCTGTGACACCGCATTGTGCCATTTGCAATCTCTTTTGTTTTGTTTCCAGTTTGTTCGCGTCATTTAACGTTACCCACAGCCTCTGCGGCCCAGGCAAACACACGTTTTGGAGCCGAGTTCCCTCGGTAGTGCACCAGTCCGAGGTGGGGCTGTCGCTGCCGTGTGAGCCGGACATTGTTATGCAAAGCGAGGCACGCTTTCTCTTCGGGAGCCTAATTGCCCCCTTACTGTCTTTGACTTTGTTTCTTTTGTCCCTCTGTGATTCTGAGAGAGAAATGATGTAGTAGAGTGGTAACAGTGAAGGTAGGGTTGTGTCAGCGATAGAAGGAAAGATCGAGTAATGAGTATTGTAAAATACATCCAGAGTTGGGTGGATCACGCAGAACGCGTGGACAGAGGTGAGGTTAAAACTTCGTTAAACCCAGCGTTTTTCTCATGAGTTATGTCTCAGCTTCAGGATTGGTGTTTCTGTGGTGTTTCACAGAACATACGCGCTAGAGGACTGTGTTCAAAGCAGTCTCAGATCTTTTCTTTTGTTCATTTCTGAAGTGGTCTGTGAGCATTTCTTGTGAAGTTTGAAAAACGCTTTGACCAACGCCTGAGGCTTGAAGTTGACAAGAGGAAAAAGTGCTCCAGTTAACACTCACATGAAATATATTCTTGACAAAGGTATATATGAAATTAACATTTCTAGATATGTTTTCTCTGTTTTTGTTGATCTTTGAAATTAAGGTCACGGTGTGCATGGGAGCAACTTTAAACATGTCTGCACGTCTTCCATCAGTGTTCGTGGCCCGGACTGTCAGTGTTGCTGTGAACTAGCTATCCTTAACCAAAAAAGATTTTGTTCTTTAGGTGAATTAGAAGATCGCTTTGCAGATCGCTAGTTAAAACACTTTTTTTTATTTATTTTTTTTTTTTTTAAATATGTGTTCTCTTTGTACAAAGTGTTTCTTGGACATGCACCTCTTTTTTATCAGTTTTATTTTTCAGTTGTTCAGTTGATCTTCTAGTGGAATGAGAAGAACAGTGTTATGACATAAAGATCACTTGTGAAAATGGCAGCAGAGGACAGCTTATGTCTTATTTGCAAGCTGTAAAAATAAGGAAGGATGATTTGGAGAAAGAAGCAAGGCTTTATTTAAACACAGCTCTGGTAGTTTGCTGGTATAACAGGCTAAGAAGTCTAAGACTGAAAATTGTTTTTTATTTTTTCTAACACATTTAAAGTCTGCTCTTCCTGTGGGTAAATATTTTGCTCTGTGTGTATCCCCACACATTAGTGTGGGGTTGCAGCACCTAGGCGAATCATTTAGAGCCAGGATCTCTGGGTCAAATGTTAAGAACACTTCTTGTTATGAAAATGTTGCCTTTGCCTCATCTTTGTTGATAATTTATTTTAAATAACTTGTAGTAAGAAACAGCATTCTTCCTTCTTTTCTTCCCCATCTAAGTAGAGAGGTGTAATGAATTCCTTTCCTTCTGCCTTGCCTCTAATGTGGCTTCTGTTTTTCAGAGTCTGACACGAAGGTGATGTTCACTAATTGTCATTAGTACTTGCAGGAAAGGTCACTGTATGGAAACTTAATCCGTAATCAATCATTGCTGTCATGAGTCAGTTTGCTGCACTCTGGATGTACAATAAAACCTACGTGTGCAGCAGACATGGGCTTGATCTTGGGCATTGACAGATTTGTTTGTGGTGACCATGGCTATGGGGTTAAAAGGCAGTTCTCTAAACTTCCAACTGTAACGCCTGCCCTCCTTTTCTCTTGAAGGCTGTTGCCTTCTGTAGCAAATCCAATGGAAAAGGTCACGTCTGTGCTTTGGCCTCTTCATTGAAGTCTGGTGACGTAGCTTAACCTAACTTCTACGAACTCTGACTTAGGTTGACTTCTGTAGGGCTGGCTAGTATATTCAGCCCCAGCTGATAGGTGATCATTTCTTGGTGCTGTTTTAGTGTTTTGGGGGAATTTAGTCTGTGAGTTTAAGTAGTTTGAGAAGTTTCTTCATGGAAAATCGAAACAGCTACACAGTAGAAATAAGAATTTCTTCAACAGGATGCAGACGGCCTCTGGTAGACAGCTAGATAATCACCCAAGGCAGTGCCCAGGGATTTTTATCTCTCACTGAAGTATCTGGATAAGCAATTACATTGCAGTATTTCTAATTCTCTGGCTTATAGTCCAAGCTACAAGTTCCCTTCCAGAAGATTTTGAAGTTACAGTGAAGTTATTTGTCTGAGTATGCAAAGGCAGAATTCCTCGGCTGTTACTGTGTTTGGCTTCTCCTGTGTGAACAGAATAATTCTGGTTTATTTTAGCTGAAGATGTGACTCTTCTGCTTTACTTATTTTACACTGAATCATGTACACCTACTGTTTACTGATTGATTCATTGATGAAACAACAGTAGTTAAGTCCTCATAAATGTCACTGCATAGTGTCCAGTGGTGTTGTAAAACACGTAATGGGCTGATTTGCTTCTAAAGACTATGAGTTATTTATTTTAATTGTAACAAGCTACTGTCTTTATGAATCATTGCTTAAACTTCAAACGTCTTCATTTGATTACAGTTAGTTGGTGAGGCAAATACTGCAAACCATTAGCAGTATAATTTCTGATGTTGCTTGATAGTATTTTAAAGATAACTACAAGTTGTTACGTAGTGTATTTCAGTTTTGCAGTGTATGTTTTTTAAGCCAGCTTTGAAATCTGTCTTTGTTTTTGCAGATGCCTGAGTACATGTCGATATAATAGCTTTCCTGTGGAGTTATGGGGAAAGTGCTTTGCAGCATCTGTGTGGCTGTTGCTTGGATCCACGTTCCACTTTTTTTGGATGTAATTGGCACAGTTTCCTTGCTTATCACTACCTGTCCAACACAGGGGATCTGGTTGAAAATACAACAACTGAAATTCAGTTTCGGTCGAGTCAATCATAGACAGGCAGAAGTTGAATTGTATGGTAACGGAAACAACTAGAAGAATTATAAATACTTACTGCTCCATCTGTTCCTAGATGCAGTGTAACTGTTTTGTGCCAAAGCAGTCTGTAACCTCTGGATCTTTCTGGTTGTCCAGCTGGTCTTGAATTCCTAAGTAGTGCTGATGGTTTTCTGCCCGCTGTGGTTTAGTTTCAAATCCATGCCTTTGTTCACTTCGGGTTTGTATCAGGTTTATAGCAAAGTGTGTATAATGTGCTTAAATGCTCTGTGTTCTAAAAGGCTGAGCTAATGTGCGATGAAAGAGTTGTATTTATAAAACCTTCTAAGTGTGAAAACGTACATGCTTAGCTAACATTCCCTCTTGGCATACTCAAATTCTTTATAATGCAGATACTGTCCTAGATCGTTTGTTCTAGAAGGAGTGGAGCAAAGGGAGTGAGTGTTTCTCTTCAGTTCTTAGTGTTGTGGTTCTTGTTGTATTTCCATTTTTCTAATGCTACCTTGATAGTGATGGATTTTTGCTTGTCTGTCTGAACTCTGGGTAGTCTAGAAAAGGTGTGAGAAAATCCCTGGGACTAGTAAGAGCAGTAGGATTCACAAACAGTGAAATTAAAACCCCTCTTGTTCTGTTGACAGAGGCTAAAGAAATCAGGGGATTTTGTTTTTGGTTTATAGTCTGCCTAGACTTCAATGTCGGGGAAAGGGAGGAATGAGACATTACACCTTGCTGTGAAAATGTGAGAAAAAAGGATATGTCCTTTCACAAGGGCTGCTCTGAAGATAGTGCCTCCTATTTTGTTACGTTGGCCCAGGGCATCAGGAACTGACATTGGCGGGATGGCAGTGAAGGTGAACTTTCCCAGTGAAGTGAACCTTCCCAGCAATATTCCATTACATTTTTTTGCTGTGTGACAGATGGAAGTAGAGGGGCACTCTGGCAAATTTAGTGTCTAATATGAAAGTGTGGATGAAGTGTGTCACTGAATTCCTCCATGCAGAAAAAAATGGCAACCACTGACATTCATTGACACTCGCAGAATGTTTGTGGAACCATACTGTGTGCGCAAGCACAGTGAGGCATTGGGTAGTTTGTTTCAGCTTTTTCAGAAAGAATTCTGTATGCAAATTTATCTGGACCTACTGAACCAGGATGAAGCTGAAGGTGGCAGTTTCCTGGATCACATCATTACCGGTGGCAAAACATGGTATCACCACTATGAGCTGGCGTCAAAACAGCAGACAGGGTAGAGGTGTGTGAATACCTCATAAAAAAAAAAAGGTAAAAGTTGTAGCTCTCAGTGGGTAAAGTGAGGTGCGCTGTCTTTTGGGATAGGAAAGGCATGGTCTGTCTGGATTTCGTGGAACCTGGACAAACCATCAGCTCTGACCGCTACGTCACAACGCTACCTAAGCTGAAGACTTGAGCCTGCAGAGTGAGACTAGTGAAGGGGACACCTTTCTCTTGCAATATGGTAATACCAGTCTGCATACAGGTTTGAAGACTGTGGAGCAGTGGTGACAGCGACAGTGGGTCATCTCTGCTGGTACAAATATTTGCAGGTGTGGCATGCAGGCTCTTGTTTGTCACTGGCGAAAATGCATAGCTAATGGTGGTGGTGACTGTCAATTTTGTAGCTGAGCATTTGCTCTACCAGGTAGTGTTATTGTACTGTTTGTTGTGATTTCCATGCAAATAAATAGGAGGTATTACTTTCAGAGAAGCCTGTGTATTTAGAACGTTCTCTAAAGATATTTGGTGAAGTAGAATGCAAATGAATTTAAGAAGTGACGTGAATTTACAGCTCTAGAATGGCTGTGTCTTATTGAAAGTCATGTGAATGACACTGCTTACATTGGAAATCTGAGGAAATTTAAAGATTGGACACTTGAGAAACTATTAGTGTGTAATACACAAGGGAGTCTGAACTAACAGCCATATCATTTGGGACAATGAGATTTTTGTTTTGTTTTTCTTGTAACTGACAGGAGCTACTCATTAAAAAAGCAGTCAAAACAAATGAGTTAACTCTGGCTTTTCCAGAATGTTGATTTCATTTTGTTTATTTCAGTAAAGGCACCAGAATTAGCCAAAGTTGTAACAAGGTTTTATGGATAGAACTTGGCCATAGTTGGATCTATTTTCCCCTCTCTCTCTTTCTCTTTCTCTCTCTCTCTCTCTCTCTGTTTTTTTTTTTTCTTGACAAGACTTTAATGAGACTTTTATAAGGGCCTAGAAAAATTAAATAGTCTACTTCTAATTTTAATGAGAATGATGTTCCTGATTTGTGTATTTTAATACAGTATCAATTTTAGTAAATATGAACTATTTTTGAAATATTTTAGTTCATAGATGTCTTTTTTAGCAGTTCTACTCTGAGTAGAATTGGGCAGGCTATGTATAATGTGTTCCTGTTTATGGTAGCTGTTGTTTAAAAAAAAAAAGTTGTTTTTGTACTTACATTACTTGCATTCATGTTACAGTTTACATTATTTTATGTTCCCATTGTATGGATTTTATAAATAGTAATTTTTTTCTTCCACATAAGTATTTTCTTTAACTTATAAAGATCTCTTTAGTTATATTCAAAATGATACAAAACTGAATGACTTTATCAGCTTTCAAAGGATTGGAGAAGGGTCTTAATCTGGAGTAAGGAGCCTAGGATTACTCTCTCATAGTCATCGTTTTCCACAGGTTGGGCACTTGCTATTTCTTTCAAAAGTATTCCACATTTGTCAGATTTGCTTGCTGGAAATACTTAGTATATATGTAAATGGCCTTTTAATTAGCAGTGCTGAGACCAGGACCAGTTAATTTTCGGGCAAACAACAAGTTAAGTTTGCAATAAAGGTAAACAGAAGGAGATATTTTGATATTTATTTTAATACATAGGTGTAAATGAAGTATTTTATGGAATAGATTATTTTGGGATTCTGTGAACTGACAGTAGGCTTGTAATTGATTGAGTTGTAGTTTTGTACCCGTTTGCTTGGACAGTGGAGTTGATGCTAGGTTCTGCTTTGTTGAATGTACTGAATTTGGCTAGTACTGTACAGAGAGACTCAGCTTTGTCAGGATCACTATTATGTTTCACAATGCAACCTGGCTTGTATAAAAGCTCTTTGTTTTGTGGAAATATCTGTTTTCCAGCCAAATTCCAGGCAGTTCCAGGCATCTTACAAGAAGCAATGGCATGGTGTTTGCAGCTGTGAACATTTGGTGATGCAGTTCCTTCTGTGGCAATGTTGTGGGAACGCGAGGAACTGATTGGTGACTTTAGTATTTTGTTGTTACCTTTTGTTTTGGAGAGAGAAGCTTCAGAGGTATTGCCTTGTTGTACCTTGCAAGTATAGAAAGTCCTGAGGTAGCTTACTTCAGGCAAGGCTGGTTTATTTTAAATGAGCTAAGCAGCCATTTTTCCAATTTGTTGCCTTGAATCAGAGCAGAGTTGTAGCTAATAAAAATGCAACAGGAGGGAATTTATAAATAAAAGCTAGCAAGCCGTTTTGATCCTGACACAAGGTGCAGATAACTAGGGGTAAATAATTGAGAATAGTCTTGATGTGACAGTGTTTAACTTCTCTACTGGACCAGTAAGTAAAGATTCTTGCTCATAACAGAAAAAAAAAAGATGAGTTCTGTAAACTTTGTATCCCCTAATTGCCGTAATTAAACATGAATCTGCTTTTCTTTCTGATGCGTCATGCTGATGGGCCTCCTTTCTACTTTGGTAGGAATCTCAGCAGGGTGCTTTGCTTGTCTTCAGTGTCTGTTTCTTAACTTGACTTCTGTGAACCAGGGTGTTTGCAGTGTTACAGCGTGGATTTATGTAAGCAGTGCCATAACAGGGTTACACCACTTACTCCAGTTAGAAAGTAATTACTGCTAACCATGGCATGTATGTAAATCCTGATGTGGGTGTAGAGCAATCTTTTGTAACAACTCGTATAAGAAGAGAATATGGGTCAGGGAACCCCATGATGTACTATGGAAATACTGCAAATTAAAATGCTGTTTGTAAAGATTCATTTTTCACCATACTGTATTTATTGTTCTGAGACAAGTAATTCTGAACTCGTAATGTTGTAAAAACTGTGTCCGGATTGAATTGAGAGGGCAAGCTAAGCCTGTGTTCAGCTATTGTTGAAGGGGGTGATCCTGCTTGCTTCTTTGTGCTGATGTTGGGATCCATCTGTCCTTTTAGAAAGTCACTTTGGTAACCTAAAAAATTGTAAGTTGTTTTCTTACGCAGTGCTATTTTTCTGCTGTCTTAGTTACTCAGATAATGAGATCACCCTGTGATCAAACAGAAGAAAATGAGGCTTCTGGGAGAGGGGAATACCAAGAAATATGACTGGTCTTGTTGGCATCAACTCTCAGTTTTGTAAAAATATGCCTGTTATGTCACTGCATTACAATAATCTGGCAGTAGTAGACTAAAAGTTCTCAATAGTAACCATTGATAGAATTTCTCAGAGACTTGAAGGATGCTTCAAGCCCATACTCTGCATCAGTTTGTTTTCTTAAGAACATAGAAATAGAAAATAGTAGTAGTTGTTTTTCCAGCTCGTAAAAGCCTGCTATTTGTTCTCTGAGCACTTACCGTTTTATAAGCCACTTGAGCTGCATTCTCCTGGCTTGTGACATCAACAGAATCCCTCAAGTGAGTTCTAACTGTATTCAGCCCAAAGTAATTGTATTTTCTACTGTGTGTTTCATTTGATACTGAGATTACCATACAGAGACATCCAGGAATATCTTCAGTGTCGAACAAAAAAAAATAGTCAGAAGATAGCATTAATAATACTTCTACCACTTGTTTTTCTATGTCCCCATGAATTTTATAAGAATTGCCGTCATGTGTGTTGAGTGTGGGTTTTTGAACACACATGTATCACAGAGTTGCACAGTCTACTCTGTATTCTGTAGTAGTAGCGTACATGACTGCCTGTTGCGTGCTTTGATGACTGCAGGTCGGTTGAACGACAGTTTTCACCAGTAGTTATTTCACATAGCCTAGTTGCTGTGTTGCTCTCATACTAATATATAAGCATCCAGAAATTGACTGAACTATCGGAGCTTCCTCCTTCTGGTGGGCTTTTTGAAGGGTGTTCAGACAAATGTTCTGTATTAAGAAGCACTTAAGCATTTTCTGCAGGTGACAGCTTGCATGCGCGTGTGATGATTGCCAGTAGATTTTCTTTACTACATTTTCTTGAATGCCCTGATGTCATATAGAAAATGTCTTTGTTTTGTTTTTCTGTTATTAGAGCTATTCTGCTCACTGAAAAGGAGACAGAAAAATAGATGTCCACGCCCACAGACCCTGGCGCCATGCCTCATCCTGGTCCTTCCCCTGGACCAGGACCTTCACCTGGACCGATTCTAGGACCTAGCCCAGGACCAGGGCCATCTCCTGGCTCAGTTCACAGCATGATGGGGCCAAGTCCAGGTCCACCCAGTGTCCCGCATCAAATGCCAGCAATGGGGCCCACTGATTATCCACAGGAAGGCATGCACCAAATGCATAAGGTAATAAAATAACTTATTACAAGTGAATCTTTTATTCTTAAAACTTCTCTCCAGTGAGTAAGAACCCAACTTCTACTGCATTTAGGCTTGCATAACTGCTACTAGAACTCATGTATCACCTGCAAAACTGCAACAGCACTGTTAGTTCTGTCTTTGTTGCTGAAGATGATACACGCATGAGATTACGTACAGCTGCTTTGCTCTTAATACGCTACTTTGAATTACAGACTTAATAGTTTGGAAATTCTTATTTTTGAAATTCTTTTTGAACTGTGCACTTTCCATACACTAGACCATACTAAAGAAATGTTGGAATTGTAAGTATTAAAGTCTTAGAGTAGATGATTCTAACCACCTTTTACCTTTTGTCCTTATCAGTTTTGGAGCGTCGTGCTGCCGTAAAATTTTTCTGAGTTCTTTAGTTTTGCACAATTTAATTTGATTTAATTATGATTTGATTTAATTTTGATATTCATTTTAATACTTTTAATGGCTTGTGCTACAAATTTGTTTAATCTTCTGTGTTGGATGAAAAACTTCTGTGTTTTGAAATACTTTTACAGAGACTCCTTCTTATTAATGAATTTTAAACTCCATATTGTAGAATGTGTGAATAATTGTACATTAGCTGTTGTCATACACTTAATGTTGCACGTGTACTTGGGCTATTCTTTATGTCTTCTGCTTTGAGAAGATTTTTGAAGGAGCAGAATTTTCTGTTTGGGAACAATCTCTTAACTCAAACTGTTAACATGTCATTTTCATGCAGCTGTGAACCACATATTTGGAACTAATGATCACTTAAACTTCACTGATATTCTGCTTTCAGAAGAATGAAGTAGCAGCTTTCAGAACCAAGATTCACAAGGCATTTTGCTAACTTGTTGATGCTATGTGTTACTTATATAAGCTATTGTGACTTGACCCTGGCTGACTGACGATGCCCACCTAAGCCATTCTCTAAGTTCCTCAGCAAGGCAGGGCAAGAAGGTGCAGGAGATACAGTGAGTAAGTTAGCAGATTGAGAAAAGCACAGGGAAATCACTCAGCAATGGCTGTTGCAGGCAAAACAGACTAGATTTAGGGAAGATTAGTGGAATTGATATCTGCAGGGCTGTTTTTCTCACGTTTTCCTATTCCTCTTTCTCACTACTACTGTGCAGCATTTTAGCCTTTCTCAGAGCCATTATCACAGAAGTGCAACTGGCTCATAGCTCAGCTTTGACTAGCAGTGGGTCCCTTTTGGAGCCAGCTGGAAACAGGCTTTCATACTGTGGGGCAGCTGCTGTGCTGTGCTTAGAGGCCATCCCTACAGCTCGCTGCAACTGAACCTTGCCATGTAAACTTACATATTATGTAAGCACATCGGTAAAGAAATTTAAATCAAAGTGATAATATAGTCTTAAAGTAATGTAAATATATCTTCATTTTCCTTGTGAATTGACAACTTTGTGTGTAATTTTCACATATGGATTAATTTTAGTCACTAAAGCAGTTAAAATGTCTATTCAGTAGAGACATAACACTGCCATGTTACAGTGCATGAAGAACTGTATCATTAAAATTTCTAATAATGCAATGACAGCTGAAGTGAAGAAGGCCATGATCCAACTCCCTGTTTGTACTAAACTGTTGCAGTTGTAATCTCTGAAAAATCAATACCTTAAAAACTATGTCTTGCATGTGGATCTTGAAGTAAGTTAGCAATTAGCTAGGCCAGATTTACTATTTTCAATTGATATTTCCTTGTTTGTAAGGTGGTTGACTACCTAAGGTGCCATTACTCTGTTGAGTGCTCCAAACATCTTAGATGGATAAGATTTACATCCTTCAATTGTCTCAGTTCTTTCTTTATTAAGAGATTCTGTGCCTGAAGAAGGTAAGTCTAACACCAGGAATTTCGTAGTCCAGCAGTTCAATATCCCATATATTGTCTTCAGCTGCTATATCATGTTTCATCTTGTATGTTCATAGAATTATAGAATAGCCTGGGTTGAAGAGGACCTAAAAGTTCAAGATGTTCTTCAGATGTCTGATGTTATATCAGCATTAGAAATAATCATTAAACTTCTTTCAGAGATAGTGCGTGTGAGAGACAGAGACACAGAAGCTCAGACTAAGCTACAAAATAAATCTGTTGAACTGATGCAGGTGGAAAGTTGTTGGGTTTTTTTTTCAGTGTAGATCAATTTTCTAGACTGTTCTTATGTGCAACTCCAGAAGTAGTGCATTGAAACAACCAAGAGAGAAGTTCTGGGAAGGGTCTGTTAAGAAAGTTTTTGAAAGTGTGCCTCTAGACTGTTTTGCAATTGCTGCTTGAGTGACATTCCATGTAGTTAAAAGAAATCTGGTCAGCCGCTTGTAATTTTCAGTTTGACCAGGTAGTTTTTTTTTCTATTTGGCTTTATTTTAAGTTGTTTATTCGAAGCTGGTCCATGGCCTTTGTGTCATGATGGAACATGGTGTTTTGGGTTGGGTTGTGGTTTTTTTTAATCTTTTTTTTTAAGTGGACAAGCAAAAGTGTAGTGAAAGTGAGAGAGTAAGCAGAAACTGTTCCATTTATGCAATTACTTGTTTATTGCACAAATGCAGTGGGATTGTGGTTTTCACTTTCAAAATCCACCAAGAAGGTGGCATAGTACCTTAAATCTTTGTTAGATGTTTGGCTAGCTTGCAGACCATCATGCATGAAAATGAAAATATGCGAAAGTAGGTTAATAAGTGATTAAGTAAAAGTTACGATTCCTACAGTTTGATTACTTAAAAGTAGTTACTATTGAAAGATGGAGACTCTATATTCACTCTATAATAACCCCAGAAAACTTCCACAGGAAAATTTACAGTCAATTTACATAATAACGTAGCTTTCATAGAAACAGCAGGTTAATTATCTTTCCTGTTACTTGCTCAAGAAATGTTCGGACTACCAATGAAATTGCTGGGAAGGTCATTACAATTCAATTTTCATTGATGTGCATTTTGGGTGCAAGAGAACACAGACTCAAGGAGAGGTACTTAGAGATCTTTTGGGGCCCTGTGAAATGGGTAAAGTGTAACAGCCTTGGATTTTATCATGAGCTGAAAATAATGGGAAGGTGGGAAAAATCAGAGGAAAGTGTAGTTACATGATTGCCTTGATTTTACTCTTCCAGTGAATTTACTGTTCTGGGCTTGCAAAGCAAGGTTTTGGTAATGGTGCTGCTGTTACATTGGTTCAAGTCCTCAGCTAACTTTGTAACTATGTAGCATTTCAAAGAGGTTTTGAGAAATAACGATTTTTCAAGTTGAGTAGTCTTTATCTGTTTGTTTTTATGTATTTTTTCACGGACTGTAGTGGTGCTTTTAGATTAAATATATCCTTGAAAACACAAGTCTCATTGCATAACTTAGCATCATTGAAACTAATTTTGTCTTGGAAGAAATTTATGCCACCTTCGTCTTTCTTTTAGCTTTTTTAGTAAAAACAGATCCATCAGTTCTGCCTTTTTAAATCTGCTTCTAATTAATTTCTCCTTTAGACTTTCACAGCATAATTTCTGCAAACATAGTGAAGCAAACCCAATTTTTATTAAACTTATCCTCCCTTCTGTTTGACTTGAAACGTTTGATTTTGTTCCAGATTTTGTTTTGCTTTCAATTTTTTGAGAAAAAGAAAAAAAAAAAAAAAAGATCTTTAAAAAACCCTTTTTTTTTTTGTCAGCTCTTCTTCCCACAGAATTATTCCTCCAGCTGGCATTTCTGTTTATGGTCATGTACCTATCCTTCCATTCCTGTTTGTTTTGCCTTAAATTCTTTTTGAAAGGAGAAGTGTGGACATGTGTTTGCTTTCTTCCTCATTTCTTTTCATTAGCGCCCAAATTGTTTGTCCACCTTCTCCTGTGCTTGTATTTCTGATGCCCTGGATATATATGTGTGTACTGTCTCAAGCTCTTTGAAGTTTCTAGCATCAAGAGAGGCTGCACTGTTGCTGTCCATTCATGCAGTGATGCCCATCCCTGCTGTCACACCACAGGTGTGTACAACCATAGTCTTCTGTTAAAGAAATCAGATCTGGTTTCCTACTCAGTATGTTTCTCCTCTTGGAGGTCCTAAAGATTGAGTTATAGATATGTACTGCGGCAAAATAGGAATGGTTCTGGTTGTACAAGTATTTCTGTTAGTGTAATATTCAGCTTGGTAAGGTGTGAGCTAAGCATTCTCATCAGGGTTGATTGCCTTTATAAACAGGGGAGAAGAGACAAGAAGAGCGTTTTGCACTTCAGAAAAGGGTGTTAGCTTTATTTGATCAGCATAATGAAACTATTTTTCACACGTCAGTCTGCCTTTATGTTTCTGTTCCATATCCCAAACTCGTACTCAAAAATACAGTATCAGGGTTTTTTTTCTGATACAAGTTTATTTCACAAGTGTTTTTGTTCTGGCATGATTAAACATCCTATTGAAACACAATTCCTATTTGCTCCTCCTTTTTTTGTAACTTTTTTTTTTAACCTTTAGTTTCTGGTAAGGAAGAAATGATAGTGAAATGATTCAAAAATGCTGAATTAAAAACAACAACAACAACAACACTTTTTGTTTAAAGATGCTTTAAATCTTGTGAAATTATTTTGATGGAAAATAAATAGTTTTATGAAGAATTTACAAATAAAGTGTAGAGTTTTGTCTTCTTTCCCATTTTCTGTATAAAATGGATTAATTAAAATTGGGTTGTCCTTATGCAACAAATTTCTCAAAGAGAAGAAGTTTCTCTATGTTTTCCTTTAAGTTAATGTAGCTTCTTAGGCAACCTGTATTTTCAATTGGAGTAAGTTTTTCTATCTCTGTTATAAAGAGTTCCCAATTAATAGGCCTGCATGTATATTAAACAAACTGCAAGGTCTCTGTGTACAATCGGTTTGCAATAACAATGTTTAGTGTAGCAGTGTATATGTTCTAGAGTGAGGCAGTTTGGTGTTTCTGTATAGAGATGAATGACTTTTTTTCCTCATACCAAGCCTTGCAAATGAAGTTATCTGAAGTTATCAGTGAGTAAGAAGAATCTCATTTCATTTTAGGGACCTTGTGTAATTTTTGTTCTCAGGTAAACATTTTTAGTTTTCTTTTTCTACTGATACCACTTTTTGCCTTATTCTCATACTTGGAATTTGACAGTTTCTATTAAGGAACAATTTCCAGTGCACTGCATGCCTCCAGCATGTTTTTCTGACCCCAAGCTGTATTCTCTGCACCGTCTTTGGAAGACATTTGGCCCTGTTCTGCATACCAAATACCATGGTAACTGTAGTTCTTGAGTGAATAAAGTATCAGGAACTGTATAGAGCGCAAGTATTTGTGTAGAACCTTGTCTCCCCTTCCTTGATTGCCTTAACCTCTTCTTTGCAGGCAAAACTAGGGAACCTGTAGCAATTATATCTTTGTGTTTGAAGAGAAAAAGTGTTTGGGGCATTCCAGTAGAGCAGAGATAGAAAGGGCAAAGTTTGGGCTAAAAATAGCTCAAGCCAAGCCACAGGCTGTACTTTAACAAGTTGGTGTATGTTGCACCACTTTGTAATATGAGACCAGTGCCGTTCATGTGCTTGTATGTGAGCAGTTTGCCTCCCTGACGTTGCCAAACAGATCCTAAGGAGGGGGGAAAAAAAAAGTCAAAAAAAGATACGGACAGGGAACAAACGAGCAGTCCAGTGGTGCTTTGTGCTTTCCAAAATGTTTGACTCCAGGGGTAAATGTGTCAGATGAATTTATTTGAATGACAGTTAAGAAAAGTTTGTACTTCTCTATTTTGTATTTACTTAGGTTTTGAGTTAAATTCCTTTGGATTTTTGTAGTGAACTTATGTACTGTTTCTGTTTAAATACTTATTTTGTTTTCACAGACCATTGATGGCTTACATGAGAAAGGAATGGTTGAAGACGTTCATTGTGGCTCCATGAAGACTATGCGACCTCCTCACCCTGGGATGGGCCCACCTCAGAGTCCAATGGACCAGCATAGCCAAGGTTCATACATACTATGCATGCTATATGAATTTGAGACTGCATTCTGCTGCGGAGAGTCAGTAGTTCCATGGAATAGTTTTCTAATTGTTTTCATTCATCTTTGCTTGGAAAAACTTAGCTCAAATCAGGCAGCAAGGTGAATAACATCCTGTCTGGAGTTCTTATTGGTCATGTATTGAAAAAAAGAAGAAAGGCGTTTCCTTAAGGTTCAACGCCATGGCTAGGGCAAATAATTGGAGTAAGCCTTTTACAGATGTTAGCTTTTGTCTGTTAAACAGATGTGGCTAAACTGAAGTGCAATAGAATATTATCTATTTTATTCTGTTGATGAAGGAATGGTAAGAGAAGAATCCAAGCAAACCTGAAGAAGTCTCCTTTAGTATATGTGTTGTTTGATCAGGGCCTGATCAAACTATTTGCCCATTATTTTTTTATGTCAGAAAATAGGAACACCTTTTACTATATTGCTACTTATCTTTATGTCATTCAGCATAAAAGGGCTTGCATTTTGTAAGCAGCTCAATATGCTGGAGATTTATCTGGTAACATCTGGCAGTATTAATTAGTTCAGCAGATAGACTTGGTATAGTGTAGAGTTAATGTATTACTGTAACACCTGAAGAATCCCACCTGAAGTTGAGATTCTGATTTGATACACATTTGATATATTAAGGTATGTTATTGTTTGCTGTGTTTACACATTTATTACAGAGTAAGAAAAATGCTGGAAGGATAGAATAGATATAGGCTAACAAAATGATTTTACCTGGATTACTTTGTGGCTTTGCAGTTTACTGTGACCCTAGTGGCTAATGCATCATTGGAGTCTCCATCTTGGACCTTCAACACCATGAAGTATTGTTTTCCAATTTCATTGTTTCGTATCAGTTAACTGAAAAATAACTTCTACCAGGACAAATTATCCATTGATTAAAACATTTTCACTGACTTCAGTAGCATAAAAGCAGAATCACTTGAGAGCAAAATTTTGAATGACTTTGTGTTCACATTCATTGTTTTGCTTGTAATGAAACTGTTGCTTGAAATGATCAGAACATTTGAAAGTGAGCAATGGGTCCAGTTCAAACATAGTTGGTTCAAATATACAGCAACAAAAATTGCGAATACTGCAAATATAGAAAACTAAGTTGTCTTCTTTTCTGTGCTAGCTGAGATCAGACTTCTCAACTGTGGTGTTCTGCAACAGATCATAGTATTAGTAGTATCTGTGGCAGCTTAAAAATTTCAGGTTCTTGCTCTCTCCTTGTTGTATGTCAGCAATGGTTGCAAGGTGAATCAAGAACACTGGAGCTCTCCCCTGAGTAGGCTTTTTCAAGAAATAGTTTTTTAAAAAAACCGAACCTCCAAAACATTAATATTTAAAGTACTCCATGTTAGTGAGGAGCTTTTCAGCTTTCTTTGCCTGTTTGCCATCTGTTTTTCTTCTAATATGATTGTTTTTTCATGAATGAGATTGGTAGCAGTAGAAGCTCTTACAGGTGATAGGAAGATCTTGTGTGCTGACCTAGTATGTGTATTTCCATGATAGAAAATCACACTTCTTGATAGCCCTCCAACATGTAGTATCCTACTTTCAGTCTGATATACCAGGCAATTAGAGTTGTATTTCCACAACCTCTGAGAAAATAGGATATGTAGTAAAAGAGACTTAAAAAAAAGAGAGAAGTAAAAAGTGTAAGTAACCCTTCTCTCCGTGAGTGCCCACGCTAGAGGGAGTAATGTGAGTTTTCTACAAATACATGGAGAGATGAGTAGTGAATCTTCTAATTTGGACAAAATCTGCAGTTATGCTTGGTATGTTATTAGAAACCAATATTTATGGTATAACGTACACTTGGAGATTTTGGTGTAGTAGCTTGAGTTTCCATATGTAGTTTTAACAAGATGCAAATCAAGTAGAAATTATACGTTATTGGTTCTAGGTCTCTCTCTTTTTTTTTTCTTTTCCATGGTTTATTGCTTGTAGGCTTGAAATCAAAGTAGATGAATACATGTAATGATTACTGTTATTTTCAAAAGTTCAGTGGAAAGTAGCTGAAGATATTCAGAACACTAGGGAATGGGTGACTCTGGACTTCTGCAATTAGTTTAAACATGTAAGCAGAATGGTTACATGTCATTGTTAGCTTAGCATTGATTCTAGGTAAAATAAAAGAGTTTTGTTTGTCTTTTAATTTTGTATGGCTGTCTATGATGCAGGCCATTGGAAACAGTTTTATTGAAAAATCAGTACTGTCAAACAAATATACAGTCATTTTTCTGGGGACTGTAAACTAGGTTGATTTATTAAATTATAAACAGATGCAGAATAGTATTTTTACAGTGAGTAGCACAGTCAGACTTAGCCCATGTAATGGTAAAGCTAGTAGTAGTATGACAGGCACAGTTTGGATGGTCTAATATACTTACAAAAGGTGCCTGGATTGCTACTCTCTTGCAGCAGTTTAAGAGATGAATAGCACTGTATAAAATCAATCTAAGTTCTATTAAATATATTAAACTTGTTAAATGTTAGGTTATAAAACTGTTACTAGAAGTTGGTCATCCTATTGGGAATATTTCTAGTTCATTTCGTGGGTCTGTTTTTGGTTCAGTGCTGTCAAAATATGTAGGCTCTGAAAGTGATGCCTTCTATTTATTTGCTACAGCAGATACAAGAACATAATAACACTGATAGAGCAAACTCTCAGCTCCAAAATACTGTTTTTCAGTATAGTCAGCACCATTAGCTGTGCATTTTTGCCAGCAGTGAACAAGCGCACACATGCTGTGCTCATCAAAATCTGTACCAGCAGAGGTGACTCACTGTTTCACAGCTGCTCTGACAGTTCCATTGTTAGAAAAATGTTGCCTGTGCAGTCCATATTTCATCAGCCCAAACAGATGGAAGTCAGAAGGCACCAAGTCTGGACTGGGATGTGGGTGTGGTAGAACAGCCCAGTAAAAACTGGCAGTATGTTCCATGATATTCAAACTGGTATAGGGCCTGCATTACTGTGTTGCAAGAGAAAGGATGTCTTCTCTGGCCTGACTCTGGAAGTTGGGGCTTTCAGCTTAGTCAGAATGCTGTGATGCAGCGTTCAGAGCTGGTGGTTTGTCCAGGTTCAATGAAATCTGGAAGCACCATCCCTTTTCTGTCCCAAAGGCAGTGAACACCACTTTACCCACTGAGGACTGCATGCTGAGCTTTTTCTTTGTTGGGGAATTCACACATCTCCACTCCGTGGGCTGCTGTTTTGATTCTAGCTCGTGGTGGTGACACCACATCTCATCACTGGTAGTAATGTGATCCAGGAAACTGTCACCTTCAGATTCATATTGGTTCTGCAGATCCTGAAAAACTTACAAACAGTGTTCATTCTTTTTCTGTCTGAGCATTTGTTGGCCTAGTGCGAACTTTGTGATATTCCAATGTTGCCATCGTTATTTACCATGCATTGAAGCCAATATTCACCTCTGCACAAAGTCCTGTTTGTAATCTCCAGATTTAAATGGATGGGTTGATCCAGATGCTTTTCATTTTGTGATGTGACATTTGTGCGTGGCCATTTGAAATGTGGCTTGTCTTCCACATCCCTTTTGCCACAGCTTAAACATATGACCCACTGCCTCACTCGCACTCACTGTTTCTCCGTAAGTGTTCAGCAAGTGTCTATGAATGTCAGCGGGTATCTTTTGTTTTTTTTTTCCCTGCATGGAGGAATTCAGTGACATACTTTTGCTTTATCTGTACTTCCATGTCAGATGCTATTATGTCATACTGCCCTTCTGCTGCCACCTGTTGCATGGCAACAACATGTAATGGAATATTGGTGAGAAGACTATCTCTTCTGCTGGTACCATCAACATCCACCTCTGGCATTGTGGGCCAACATAATAAAATGGGAGGCATAACTTTTGGAGCACTTCTATTTGTCAGTGATCTGGAAATAAGTACAAAATCAGTGCTGATAGCTGTCTTTTGTGTATGAGGTGTAGAATTATGTCATAGGAAGCAACGATGCTGAAAAATGTTCTGGTTGCTCTGGCAGAATTTGATGCGTGTTCCTGTATACAGTGCTTGAAACTATGAAATGGAATGTAGTGCATGCACCCAGGAGCAAGAATAAATTGGATGAAATGTTCTATCACATTACATTATAATACCTGCAGTTAACAACAATGTTGAGAAATATTTAAAGTACTATCAAATGTTTGGAGCATCTGTCATATGAAGAGAAGCTAAGTGATACCTCATACACTCAGCAAAAGGAGCAAAAAGAGAGCCACATTCTTTGCTGTGATGCCCAGTGGCAGAACAGGAGGCAAAATGCACAAATGGAAATCTGCAAAGTTCCACTGGAACGTAAGAAAACAATTTTTAACTGTAGGGGTGGCTGAACAGTGACACTGTTAGCCATGGAGATTGTCTAATACCTATTCATGGAGATAATCTCCAAACCCTTCTGGACATGTTAGTGGGCAGCTTGATGCATCTGACCCTGCTTGAGCAGGTGATTGGGCTAGATAATCTTGGAAAGTCTTTTCCAGCCTTAAGGATTCCATATAATGGTGTCTTGAGTAGAAAATACATAAAAGAATGATTCTGAAACTTGGAAAACTTGCATTTTTGCTTAGAGAATGGTGAGCTGCATTTTTTTTAAATTTTTGATCAATTTCCTCATTTCCAGATGTTAGAGTAGAATGTAATGGATGACTCAAAAACGTACAGGCAAATTCACGTTTTATGAATTCAGACTATATTAAAAATCTGCCTCTTATTTGAAGAAGATTATTAACTTTTGGGACAAGGATTACCCAAATATTTGTGGTAGGTTTTATGTCACTTGAAATGTAAGTCAGTGGTACATGTCTTCCTGATAAATTCTGTAACCCAAAGGGCGGGAATTGTTGTAGAAGGTGAAGGCTTTAATTCTGTCTTATTCATGTTAAGTAGACTGCAATAACCATAGGTCAGATATCTGTGAACCTGTGAAGAGAGTCCAAGATTCTGAGGAGAGCTGTGAAGCTAGAGAAGGAAACAATGGTTTTACTTCTTGGTGAATAGGAAAGTGAATTGTGAATTTGTGATAAATGCATGGACAGTCCTTCTGTATGTGGTGTATGGTTAGAAGTGATCACAAAATCGGATTTAATCTAAACTAAAGTGTTCCAATTAAAACCTTTTTTTAAAAAAAGGAACTTTCAAAAGCATGCATGCACTTTAAAAAAAAACCAACCAAACAAAAAAACAACCAACAGCACAAAATGCATAAATAAATACATAAAATATTGAAATCTGCTTTTCACTGGAAAATGTACACCCACAATTTCACTGTACACCCACAATTTTGAGGATCTAGAAAATGTGCATGTAAATATGGATTATAAATTAGAAATAAATTGAACTGCACATATGGTTGTACATATATATATGATCTGTGTAATCTGAACATGTGCTGCAAATGAACAATCTTGAAATGAGGACCATGAACTTAGAGCAAGTCAGGACAGAATTTTCAAGGTGATGATTATTACAGTCTGTGAAGAAACAAAAAGTGGATCCTTTTTGAGGTGATGAGGTTTACCTTGATGAGTAAATCAAAAACATTTCTAAATTAAATGTGTCATTTTGCTCATAAACACCTATTTTCTGTTTCCGTGAGAGTCACTAGTCTGAGATTTTTGAATTTATTTGTTTACTTTTTAAACTAATTATAATTACTAAAACACGCACCCTTATTATTTAGATTCTGGATTTTTTACTTTCTTGATGTTCAATGGTAAGCTGGTCATGCAGAAATAATCTTGCAGGTTGAGACAGTTTGTTACACTTTTGTTGCAGTCATACCACAACACCATTGCTTATAAATGTTGGACACCAATTTGTAGGCGACCTGTATATCTCCTCAACAGTTACTGCTGGTATCTGTCTCCTCAACAGTTACTGCTTTCCACTGCCAAATTTTAGAAAGGGTAGCATTCCTGACTATTTCCAGCGTCCAGTTTTCTTTTCTTGAAGTCAAGCACAATGATGTCCTTGTTTTAGTCTTAAAACCCTTATTTTAATGCTAATAGATTAAATAGGAAGGGAAGTCCATTGCTCTGACTTCATAGTTGGCTGTTTAAATAATAATCTTACCGCATTTAACTGAATTTGGGCTGTTAATGTTTTCAGCTTATGTGAATGAACACTGCTGGAAGTGTCTATATTGATACTGGAAGTATTTACTTTAATTTGTTTTAAAATTTACTTTAAATTGTTAAAACTGTAAACAGACTTACCCAGAAAATTAAATGTATGTTTAGATTTATTTTGTAAGAGGAATGAGAAGAATCTGCAAAAAGAAGCCTGGTGTTTGTGTGATGGAGGCTATATAAAGTGGACCAAAACTGGAGATACAGTGACTCTCAATAAAGCCAAGTGCAGGATGCTGCACTTGGACTGGGGCAATCCCAGGTGTTTATACAAGCTGTGGGAAGATCTCCCTGAGAGCAGCCCTGTGGAGAAGGACTTGGGGGTCCTGGTGGACAGGAAGCTGCACATGAGCCAGCATTGCGCGCCTGCAGCCTGGAAGGCCAACTGTATCTGGGCTGCATTAAAAAGGGGTGGCCAGCAGGGAGAGGGAGGTGATTGTCCCCTGGCTCCTGTGAGGCCACATCTGGAGTACTGCGTCCAGGCCTGGGGCCTCTGGCACCAGAAAGACACAGAGCTGTTGGAATGGGTTCAGAGGAGGGCCACTAAGATGATCAGAGGGCTGGGAGTACCTCTTCTGTGAGGAAAGGTTGAGGGAACTGGGCTTGTCTAGCTTGGTGCAGGAAAGGCTCTGGGGAGACCTTGTGGCTTTCCAGTGCATGAGGGGAGCGTATAAACAGGAAGGGGAATGACTGTTTACAACAGTGGATAGAGATAGGAGAAGGAGGAATGGTTTCAAACTGAGACAGGGGAGGTTTGATTAGATATTAGGGGGAAGTTTTTCACTCAGAGGGTGGTGACACACTGGAACAAATTGCCCAGTGAGGTTGTGGATGCCTCATCCCTGGAGGCATTCAAGACCAGGCTGGATGTGGCTCAGGGCAGCCTGGTCTAGCAACCTGGTTGGCGACCCTGCACATAGCAGAGGGGTTGAAACTAGATAATCACTGGTTATTTTTAACCCAGGCCATTCGAGGCTTCTATGATAATTTCCTGTGTTTTCCTGGTATTGAGAGTAAAAGTAAAATGCAGTTAGTCTAACATGGGAGTGGCACACAGACCAATTTTGAATAGCTCAGGTGGTTTAAATTGCTATTAGTAGGTGCAAGCGTAAGAACTGCAGGCATTCAAGGTTCTGGGACCTAACCTATGTGTACTTTTAATAACTGATTGGTATTTGTTGAAGTTTGTAGTAAGATAGTTTACAGAATTCATCAAGGTTTTATAATTTCACAGATCATGTTCATTGTCCCTACTGTTTTTAAATTAACTGCAATTTGCTTTCCGATAAGTTTTAAAGATGAAAGAAGATGTGTTGGGTCATCTTACCATCTGCCTGCCAGCATATGACCTCAAAACAGTTTATTTCTCCAGCCCTGGTTTTAAATGATTTTTGCACCCAACTTCCTATTTTTGAATTTGGTGAGTTTTGAAAGGAAGGTCTGTGTCAGTGAGTAGGTGTTCTTTGTCTTTTTCTTGGTTGAGAGTTTCACAAGAACTGACCACTCAGTGGGAAAGCCTTATTCATTTCTCATCATAAAAAAAATTAAAAATGGTAGCCTTGGTCTGGCACAATCACTGTATGTTCTAAAATATTATGCATTCTTGTTATTTATTGAGCTTATACTTGATTCTTGTATTTAAAAAAATAAAATTAATTGATGGCTGAAATGACCATTAAGGTAAATACCATACTGAACTAAATTTCTATAATTTTTTCTGTATCTTAAATAAAATTCTCTTACCTTCTTTTGTAAGCATGTAAACTTCTTATTCTGTTTGGCAGAAAGATTTTACATGTATGATCCTTTGATACTTTAATCATTTGTCCTAATTTTTAGTGAAAGTCAAGATTTCTTTTAAATATTTCATCATTTGAAGTGATAAAAAATAAGGTTCAAGTGCCATTTGATTCAGGATTTTGCTCGTTCTCTTGGAGCTTCATTTGAGTCCTGCCATTTCAGCAGCTTCTTCTTAAGGGATGTTTTATGTTGGCAGTTGAGGTTCCAGTTCCATGATAGGCATCCATGGAAAGAGACATTCGATGTTCTTTGTCTTATACAAAGGTTTAGTCTTTGTCAATTAAGAAGCAGTCATATATAAACTAAATACTTCCTATTTTTGTGTTTGGAGGGTTTTGCAAGGAAAGTCTGTGTCAGTGAATAGGTGTTCTTTGATGCATATGCATTAAAAAAAAAACCAACACAAACCTTAAAACATCAAGCTGCAAAATATACATTGAACTAGAATCATAGAATCCTTAGAGTTGGAAGGAATACCAAAAGGTCATCTAGTCTCATTTGCTGGCAACAGACAGGGATGTCCACAGCTAAATCAAGTTGCTCAGAGCCCTCAACTGGTCACCCATCACCTCTCTGTGCAACCTGTTCCAATGCCTTGCCACCCTCACTATAGAATATTTTTTCATTATATCCAGCCTATATCTACCCTCTTTAAGTTTGAAGTAATTTCCCCTTGTTATGTTGCAACAGACCATGCTGAAGAGTCTGTCCCCTTCTTTCCCGTAACCCCTCTTTAGATACTGAAAAGCTGCTCTCAGGTTCATTGGAGCCTTTTCTTGTCCAGGCTGGACTGCCCCAGCCGTCTCAGCCTGTCCTCATAGGAGAGGTCTGGATCCCTTGGATCATTTCTGTGGCCCTTATCTGGATGCACTCCAACAGGATTATGTCTCTTCTAAGTCTAGTCTAGAACTAGTCTGCCATTCTGATGCCTCTTTGTGTATTTCATGTTAAAGTTTGTCATGCTCCAAGTATGAGGAAAATTGTTCTTTTTAGGAACATTTGAATCACAGAACCGTAACGGCTCAAACAACAGCTCATGTAGCTAATTTCAGGTGGCACCTTGTTCTTGCAGAAAATATTACAACCATCCTGATTTGAGAAAGCTGTTTTTGTACCTTGTGTACTGCCAAAGAAATGTGATGGAATACAGGTGTGACTAGCTGGGGTGCTAAACTTGTGATCATCTCATCTGTTTTAGGTTATATGTCTCCACACCCGTCTCCACTAGGAGCACCAGAGCATGTATCCAGTCCGATGTCCGGAGGAGGTCCAACTCCACCCCAGATGACTCCCAGCCAGCCAGGACCTATTATACCTGGGGACCCGCAAGTTATGAGTCAACCCAACAGAGGTCCCTCCCCTTTCAGCCCTGTACAGCTGCACCAACTTCGGGCTCAGATTCTAGCATACAAAATGTTAGCTAGAGGTCAGCCTTTGCCAGAAAACCTCCAGCTTGCTGTTCAGGGAAAGCGGACCCTTCCTGGCATTCAACAGCAGCAGCCTCCCAGTGCCTTCAACAGACAGTCTGGTAAATGCAGCTAGGCTTTGTGTCATTGCACAAGTAATTCTTGAAGTTCTACCTGTGGAATGTTACAGAAGCATGGTGTTCATGATTATAATTTGGGTCAGCATTCTGAACTTTTATTATTGAGGAAGTGCATAGAACCTGCCTATTATTAATAGAATATTGTACACAGATATAGAAGTGTCCACCTCAATTATACCTGACGTTTTTAAGTGTTAATCATAGTTTATTGATCACAATTTTACTCTTCTTAGAGTAATTTCCAGTTTCCTGTTATTATGCAGTAAAAACAGAAAATTTGGAGCAGGTGAAAGTAAAATGAACTGTTGAGTACGTAAAAGGAAAGTAAAATTCTCTTTATTAGTCTTTCTCTTCCAATGATAATAAATCTTACAGTGCAGTAAGCAAAGCATACTTTGGTCTTGAGAAAACTTTGTTAACACCCTGTACCTCTTACATCTTCTGAACACTTCCATTATTGAGTGAGTGTTAGAAATTGAGTGCTAAGCTGTTTTTTTTTTTGTTGGTAATGATTTTAAGTAGTTCATTTTGGTGTGTATCACTTTGCTAACAAGTAGAGCTTTTTTTGGTTTTGTTTTTTAGGATACATGATTTTACCAAGCTTTGTTATATATTTTCTTTCACAGTAAAATTTTCATAAAGCCTTATATAATGCACAGAAATACTACTTGCCTGAAAAGGCTAGCATGCTAGAGAGCAGAATAGTTATTGAATGCTTGTTTCTTAATATGATTCTTTCCTCTGTCAAATTGTTAGGTATTGGGATGCATGCAATGAGTGGTGCTGCAGCTGGACCAGGGCCTGCTGCAGGAATACCTGGACATACAGCTTCCATTACTCCTAAAACGTGGAATGAAGGTACAGGGGAGCATAAATCTCATATTATTTCATACACAGAGTTAAGGTGAAACAGAGTAGGTAGAGACCAAGAAAAAGATAGAGGGAAAAAAAAAAAAGGGAAAGTTAAAAGTAATACAGGCAAAATAGCATAATCTTTACTGTACCTAGGACTTAAATATCAAGGAGAATCAACCATTTATTCATCTATGAATGACCTGGCCAGATGAAGTTATTGCAGTTAGATGGCCTGAACATCAAGCACCTTTTTAAAATCAAAGTGAAATGCAGAAGCTGCCTGAGGGACACCCATAAAATACATACTTAAGTGGTATTCTCAGCATGCTTAATTGCAGGAGGCTTGTCTTTCACCTGTATTCTTTGTTGCTGTAAACTCAAGTTTTCAAATTTCAAACTCATACATAGCAGAATGAGGCTTTTTATTTTTTTTAATTCCTTTGAAAGAACAGTGTGGTCTTTGAGATCTAAAGAACACTGTAACACTTTTTTTCACATTTTAGTGTGAGAATAATTTTTGGAATAAAAATATTTAGATTTGGATTTACAGGCTCATTTATGGTTTGAAAGTAGAAGGAGGACTGTATTGAAATTCATTAGAAATTACTAAAAATATATTTTGAATTTATTTTTTAAGAGAAATTTAAAGGTGGATATAGTATTTCAGACCAGAATAATTTGTTCCTCACTCAGCAGGAATCTTATACATTGCTGTTGCTCGTGGGTAAATCTGAGGACAGAGAACTGTAACAGTAGATCTTTTTTTAAATACAGAATGAAGTGTATATAAGTGTGTGTTTGTCTGGTAATTTTGAATGTTTTTCTGAACTCACATTCTTCTGCAGAAATTGTCATTAATTTCTTCCTGCGTTCCATATTTCATGTTAGGAGTAAGTATTTTTTTTATGATTCAGGCCAAACTCCAGATATGAGTGTCTCCAGTGCACCGCAGAAACTTCCTGCACCATCTCTGAGTGGGAGGCCTTCTCCTGCCCCTACTGCTGCCCAGCCTGCTGCTGCTATGCCTGGGCCTTCTGTACCACAACCACCACCTGGACAGCCTTCCCCCATTGTTCAGCTGCAGCAAAAGCAGAATCGCATCAGCCCTATTCAAAAGCCACAAGGATTAGACCCTGTTGAAATTCTTCAAGAACGGGAATATAGGTAAAAGTGAATAATATGATTCAAGTATGCATGCAGGTTATTTTTCACTTTCTGGACAGGGAGTCCTTGCAATCCAAGGTAGTAGTGACAATCAAGTAAATACAGTTTCCAGAGAGGAACCATGTCGAAGAAATGTAGAAACATCACACTAAAAGATAATCTAATTCCATCTCAGGTTAGAAAGTAGGAAAGTGTGTTAGTATCACTGCAAACCAACTAAGTTTAAAACAGGCTCAGGAACTCTGCTTGGCTACTGTATTAATGGACGCTTCAAAAGACAAAAGTTAGGAAATCTAAATCGTCGTAATCTACAGAGAAACAAATTTAGTGTGGGAAGTTTTCAAAATTACAAACGAGTTATAAAGGGAATAATGGAAGTCAAAAGGCTAATAAAAGTTAGTGGCTAGAGAAAATTTTATTAGTGTGATCATGAACTTTGCTGAACTCCAAAGAGTAAGGAGATCAGAAGCAAGATTAAAGAAGAGGTTACCAGGAAACCATGGTCTTAAAAGTTGCCTCCCATGTGCCTCAATTCGTTGATGATTTATATTCATATAAATTATAGAGGATAACATTTCTTTCAGAATTAGATAAAGACTTCTCTAGCTTTTTGCCTGTCATCAAGACCCTTAAGACATCAATAGTTAGCCTGGAGAATCCGCAGGGCAAGAAGGGTCTAGACCTGCACCTGAACTGTTTCTAATCATTATCCGTTGGCGATAAGAGACCACACAGCATGTTTTCTTGGTTTGAACTGATAGAACATTTTCCAATTACTGTAATAATGAGTTCATAACAGAAAGGTAGCCAAAATGAATGATGATCGTGCTGAAGACAGGTTTAATGGCATTCACTTTGTGAAGGTAAAGCACCATGAAGTTGTTTAGTATGTGGTACTATGCTCAGAATACAGGCTTTGATCACAGAAAAGCTTTCAATTTCTACATAAAATAATTCTTAAGTAATTTTATGTCATATCATTGTAGTAGTTCTTTTTTTTTTTTTTTTTTTTTTTTTTTTTATGTAATTGATTATTTTTTTATTTTTTTTTTGTTTTTTTTATAATATTTAGTAGAAAAAAAAA